TCTATGTAATTGGAGTGAAAAGTGGCAGTTAACGTTCAATCCAGCTAAATCTGGGATAACATACTTCGGACGTTGGAAACCTAGCATGTGTCTATACATGTACGGTGACCTTGTCTCAAACACAAACACAGTCACAGATCTCGGGATAACATACTCAGATCTTACCTTTACTGAACATGCAAATAAGGTGGTATCTGATTGTAAACGTCTAACCGGCTTTGTGCTACGCAACTTTTACACTCCAGAAGCCAGATTAGCCATATATAAGATATGCATTCGCCCCAAACTTGAATACTGTGCCCACTTATACAGTAGCTTTAAATCAGCAGACAGAAAAAAGTTGAAAGTGTCCAAAGATTCCTTACGAAACGCATATTAGGCTATGGTCAGCAAATAGAATACCTTGACAGATGTATTCGACTGGACTTAGAGCCCTTATGGTTAAGGAGAGTGAAGTGCAATTTATTTCTCTTATTCAAAGTTATAAGAAAGCACTGTAACAGTAACTCGTCCATAACCTGGGCTAATCCTAAATCGTATGGACTACGCAACCACAACTACCTTCTCAAGGTTAACACCCATAAACTCACCACTAGAGCTAACTTCTTCACCATTAAATATTGCAAACTTTGGAACCAACTACCCTCTGAGATAAGATCCTGTGAAAGGCCTGACAGTTTCAAAAGGAGCCTAGAAAAACATATAAACATGTCCACCCTAGCCCGCCTCAAAGATCTCAACTGCTGGTAGAGTGGAGAGACAATGGCATTTCAATATTTAACTACAGAAAGTACACTAGTTCCCAGACTAACATAATAATACTTAGTAATTATGTAGGTTCAATACTTGAAATTCGATTGTCATTAAAATACTTAAAATGATTAAAATACTTATGCGGCAAATGTTCTCTTGCTTTACCGCTCTTATTTCCCTTATAACACTCAGTTATTGAGCCTAATGTATTCTTTGATAATACGAATTATGACACTGACTATGCTCTTATTATACATAGATTGATTTACTTTACGACTACCTGTAGTACTAACTACCCTTCTGTAGTATTGTTAACCAAATGCTGAAATTTTGTTGGTTCTGTTAATATCTTTTTATAATATATGTAGACAGGTTACTTTGCAATGTCAAATGTTACTATATATAAGACTGTCATGATAATTTAGTACACTAAGTCCTGCCAACCGACCTTACCTTCAGTTCATACTACCTACATTGATCCCTAACTATATTGTTCTGCTGAATCTTGCTTCACTATTCACAAAACCTATTCTTTTTATTCTTTAAGGTTTTAACTTCTTGTAAAGTAATCTGTTCATTAGGACGCATGCATACATATATAATGTTCATAAAGATGTACGCGGAGACCTATTGGAAGCACTCATTAAGAAAGCTAGGGAGATGGAATATGAGGTACGAACATGTCTGGTACCAAGCAATATATTTGCGGTAGCCATAATAATCATAGTCTCAGAGCTTAACATCAAAAAAGGAGGGAGGGTGGCGTTAGCTGATCAGTAGATATGGTGGGGTCACTAAGGTGAATCGCCCCATTCTGCAGGAACAGCAATATACAAATTAAAGGCTCGAGATATTTCTGATTTTTATGAGGGCTTAGATCTTTATCTTGAAAAAGATAATAATGAACGCCTTGACAGATCATGCTTCTACCTTTAAATATATACCATTACTCAGCCTATTGTTGAGATGCGACCATGTGGGATCTGCACAGATTTATGGGGCATCTTATAAACTAACTTGCTGTCCATTGTCGGATCTTTAAATACCACTTCACAATGTCTTATCTCATTCATTTTCCAATAACGTCTTTACTTGATCCTCATTATATCCCATTAAACCTAACATTTTATAGCTCTTTATGAATTTGATTCGACTTATTCTATTCCTATTCTCTGAAGGGTACGGTTGTGCACCAAATGCACAAAAAGGTATAAAACAAAAACAACACAACTGAGGATAAATGTATTAAAACCAAAAGTGGACATCATGATAGTACGAGATATACGTGTAGCATTATACATTGCAAATGAACGTTGTCAGCCTAGGGAGTTTCCTTTATTAATGCATTTATTAATGATACTTGCACTTACCTATTTCATTACAATTTATTGATTCACCTCAGCACTTTTACTTTTCTAAAACAGCTTTCAATCCCTTGTAAACGTTGTACTTACCTCAATATTGGTTGGTTATCGTATGCCGACAACCACGGGATGAAAACGAAACGAAGTCGATTTTCCCGCTCAACCTGGAGGACAATTGTACAATTCAATAACTATACAGCCTAGTTCAGACAATGAGTATTTATATATATTATATATATCAAATATTTAACTGTTGAAACATTAATAACTTGTAGACAATCTACGATTTGATATTATATCATACTTGATCGTGCCTGTAAAAATGGCATGCATTTTCATGTAAATTTATATGTTTATATGAGAATATACATTATTATTATTAAATCATATGCAGTTCAAATTCTAAAAAGTGCAGACTCAGGCCACCGTAACAGACATGGGCAGTGTGCTAGAGGACTGCATAAAACAACCTAGAAACATGAATCCAGTAACTTAAAAGAAAGCATACTGAGAATATGTGTCTCCTAAAGCGTTGATGGAATTCCATTCCACAGTGCACAAGTTTTATTCTTATATCAATATTGATGGAAAATTGTGAGAAAAACTACTAAAAGTCTACTTCTATAATAATGGGGGCATGAGCTAATGAATACCTCATTCAGATCTGTTCAGTTTGTTCCGCTAATCAGAAAACTTGGTCATATTTCGTTAACTTCATTTTCTCTTGGGTTGATTGCAATACAGCGTCATATTAATGAATGAATTTTTTTCAAGAGTCACCCACCACAGTCGTTTAATGTCTGATACATTTATGTGTAAAAGGATACCGTACCCTGTGCCGTTTATTTCTATTCATTTCCTGAATTTTAGCTTCGGTTAACTTATTGCCAACCTACGCTTTCGATTTGAATCCGGTTTATCTGGAGGATTTCATAGAAGGAAAGGGGTTATCCGTAGCAGTGGTATTATCCTAGAACAAGTCATACGTTCTCCCCACAAAGTTAACCGATACCACTCCACCTAGCGTGATGAACGTAGCCAAGAGACAGGAATGGGGAGACTGTGGGGGACTAAATAATTCCCCAAAATTATCAGACTACAGCATTAGATTTTGACATCCGGCGTTTATTGCGACTTGTTAAGCTGAAGGTTCGTGGTTGTTCATCCACGCCACTTGTCACACTGTCATGATACTTTCAGGTCGTTCGTGAAGAGTCCTTAGCTAGCCAAACATTCATGACACTGTGATTATCTCGAAATATCTCTCGTATTTCAGATGATCAATATGATATTTTGGTGTTTTTCTGGCCCAAGTAGATGAAGTACTATAGGAATTGTGGTTAAGAATTTGTGTTTATAAAAACGGTACCCTGTGTAGACGTCAATACTACTTATTTCCTAAAATTAACTGTAAAGGGATATACAACCCCTGCCAAAAATTTTGGATTGGATACTTCATCCTATTATCTTAGCAACAAATAGACCGTGTAATTCACGAGAATATCTGATGAAGCTACCAAATCCATACAAGTGAGTTTATAAGCGTTCATAACCCCAGTCTTATTCCTTATCTTAGGCATAGCCTCATCTCTAATGCTTTGTCAACTTATTATCCAAAGAGTACTTAAAAATGAGATCAGGACCAAATTTGCGTACACCGTGGCACTTTGATGATGGCAGGTTCTGTAATCCAAAGAATTGTGTGCGTTCAAGGTCATTGGTCGCTATTCTCCAATTCAGCCCATTTATCTTACCTATGTCTGTATTACTAGAGCTAGTTCTAATATTTCGTCGGTGGCACAGCGGTTACGATTCTCGCCGACCATGCACATGGTCCGGGGTTCGATACCCTGCCGACGCACACCTGATATCAATAATCGGCCTGCAACATTTGGGCTACCGACATCATATGCCAAAAATTCCATCTCTGTACCAAAAATACGGTGGAATCAAGCTATAATCAAAGTAAAAATTAAAAATAAAAGTCTCTCAGTTCTTCAATAGTTCATCTGCTTAACAATGGGCAACTGTTTGCTTAGCGGCAATTTCGAAAAGATTTGAAGGTCAGCTGCGGCGTCCGGCGCTCCTCAAAGCTGTGGTGCGGTTTGTCTATATTTTCCACTCTCAGAAAATCTCCAAATGTAATTCTTAAAGTGCATAAACTGTCGTTTCTGTCTGTTAATACTGTGAATTTTTCGTTGTTTGCCCTTTGGTAGCTAAGAATAATGTTCTGAGTCGGAGAGTTTTTTCGTGAACATGAGTAACATAGATAGAACTGTGGGCACTAATGGGTTGTTTCAGGCTGAAACATTGATGCTGCTAATCTGATTACAATAGTAATGATTTAATGTATGAAGGCTGTTTCTTCCAAAGTGAGTAAATAATGAAATTCATTATGGTGCGATTTCCCGCATAAAATAGCCCTCTTTGCTATTTTTCCGCACTATCCACATTAGTTCAGCACCAACTAACACATTTTAGCATGATGTGCATGAGTTTAACGAGGAATGGATAGTATGGGGGTGACGTTAGACTATAAAATCCCTTCCGGTACTGTACCTTCGACACCCAAATATGTCTTCCTATGTTACAGTCAAATAGAGTTATCACTTCTGTTCTAGATTCGCTTGACAAACTCCATAAATACAAAGTGTCTTTCCAACACTTACATGATTATAAGCTTCGGTATGAATGTTAATAATAATAATTATTCCTGAAGAAATGAGATAACTTAGTAGTATGGTTCTTATTTTGAAAGCTTGCAAGAACGTCTGCCACCATCATCCTTCGGTTGCTTCGGGGAACGTCATTTTCTGGAAGGTTCTAATTGAGTTTCTTTCGAAGGTGATGGTGATGTGTGTTTAGTGATGGTGTTCAGTGTTCTTTAATGATGAGACATACGGCTAAGGTTATTGTGACTAATTGGTCTTGTGTTTTGTTGTTATTCCTTGACCTGCTTTCATTTGCAATGGCAATTACTTCCTAACTGTTCAGCACTGCTAGCATTCATTTTAGTCGGCATTTGTTATACAGGGTTATACTATTTAGAGATAAATTGATATTTCGTGCTACGAATCCGACATGAGAGGGGTTCGTAAACTTGTTTTATCAGTTTGGCAGGTAAATTCACCTTGGCAACATGTTATTAAAACTAACAACTAGATCTGCGAATCTCTTGACTCACCCATGTGTTGGGGAGCCATAACGACAGTGAATTTAGACTACCACATAAAACAACCACTATTGATCTTGTTCCATCCTAACTTGAAACAAATTTTCTATGTACAATCATGGCGTTACATGCTGTTCAGATTTCAGTTCACATGTTATAACAAACTGATCAGTGTTTCACCTAGAAATCGGTTGCTTTTCAATTTCAAAACTTGAAAATGTCATATTTGCTAATCAAAGATGATATTTGTTTTTCAGATTCTGTATTCGCAATAGAAGCTGAGTTCTGGAATAGGACTACAGTTCAAGATAGCTAGTAAGCCCAGTTATTGATAGGCAAATATATTGTGCATTTGAAAAATGTAAAATATTTACTCTTTTCAGAGTCCAAACACAGTACATAAGAAATCACATTCTAAGTAGCTTTAGTGACAGCTTTAAACCAAAGTTTCCAGGCACTTAGCGACTCAAAGTTATCTCCGAAAACATGATAAAGTCCTTAAACGACTGTTAAATGCGCAATTAGTTCTAAGTGGTATATTTTTCAAGCGAGAATTTGTAGTCAGTGTTTTCATTACCATCGAGTGCGTCTGGTTGTTGACTTCGTAAAATTAGTATACCAGAGCTCTTCACTTCATTCTTATTTTTTAGCATAATTTTGTGCAAATTTGGCACTAAGAAGTGTTCCATATACCTTTGTATTACTCAGTTGTCGGTCAGCTGTTGAGTAGTCAACGCCCCTATATAGTGTGTCATGCATATCTGACAGATAATAGTGTAGTCTTTAGCTAAGTAAGTAAAGTTCTTGCTAAGGGTAATATCAATAGTTAGAATCTTACACAGTTACGACTAAACACATTATTATGGTTAAGCTTCTTTTTATGGTGTTGATCCACTTACTTTTAAAATACACTATGATTCCTAAAATATTCTACACCAAAATAACTTCACAGCATGTTTTTCTTCACTTCCATATAAGGTATATAATTACATTGCTTGTAAACATTGTTGTAGATAGTTTAGGAAGATTGTACATAATTTACTTAATTTATACCTTTTGTCCGTAAAATCCCTCGCTATAACGAAATCTGTAAGCGTTACAGTTTTGGAAGCTCAACTGTGCAGCTGTCGGCATACTTACATTTGGATCGCTAACCTACTGCAGTGATCGGGTCATTTACTAACATATCCTATGCAGTTTGTAGTAAAATAGCTTTCACACGGTATCTAATTTATTGTTGTCATCATCGTTATTCTTCGTGTCAGTATTATAATCTATATAAAACTTTTGAAATTTCAGCTATGTTGTTGGCTCAGTGTCCAGTTTGTCAAGAGTGTTTTACGAATGCCCTTCAGTGTCACATATCAGCACTACCATGTGGTCACGTATTCCATCAAATATGTATTGATACTTGGTTCAAAACGTCGTCTACATGTCCACAATGCAGAATAGGAATAAAAAGAACTTTTGTTATTTCTCGACTGTATTTTGATATGGTCACTCACAGTACAGATGAACGTGTCAGTATTACAGACGGTGAGGACATGGAAGCAGAATTGGAAGTTTCTGTAAGTTTACGCGTAGGATATTCATTTCAGATACCGATAATATGTACAATGTATATAATTCTCAAGCATGAGGAATTAAATTCTTGTATTTACTTCTGGGTCTATACCATGGTAATAATCTTTGTTGACTAATTTGGCAGTTTCACGAATCATACAGAATTGCTAGTTACACAAAACCAGGTTACTAGCTAAAGGATAATTACATTAAGAGAAAAATAAGTCTCTATATCATTATTTGGAAAAAGTAAGGAGTCACTGCCTATCCGTTTGAGAGATGTTTGAAGATGAGTTCGTTTGACTAGGATTCTCGAAATATTTACAGCTGCTGAACTATGATTTGGAGTGACATTGCGGATAGTAATTGGGATGTGTTAAATGTTTTCCTTCTCGAATACTGGGACATTTTACTGTTATTGTCTTCAAACTTGCTGTATGATGTAGACTTAATCGGTGACTTACTGCTTTTGTTTTTTATGAACCTTGAAAATGTGAACAGGTGCACTCTTGTGTGAGGTTCTGGTTTGTTGCCTCATTGGATTGTTTGCTTTAACATACTTTTGGTGCAACTCTAGCTCACCGCATAGATAATTGTATGACTGCATACTTTTATCCTCTAGCATTAATAACCTCATTCAATTGTTATATAGTCAGAAAAAGAACATTTCTGTATATGGTAATCGTAGTTTAATATTTGCTGTGATATTTCATTGAGTCTATCAATGTTGTAGCTTGAGAAGCAGACGGGCTGTTTGTCTTTTCACTAAAATTGATGAGCGACTAATCCCCTGTGCTAATACTACTTCATATATAGATATTGTTAATTCACTTCTCCGAATATGCCAACTAATTTTAAGAAACTAATTAATGAACAAAGAGTATTCTTTTCGATAACGTTTTCGTTTAATTTTCATCTTATCCCAAAGCCGACTGATTGCTGCTACCTTGATGTGGTGGTCGGGCTTGCACATCTTATCCCAAACCTCCATTCATTGTTGTTTCATCTTGTGACAACACATTTAAGCGAGCAATATTGTTTTTTAATTATATCTCGTGAGAATCAACTTTAATATACATAAATTTACAAGTAATTATTAAGATATAAACCAATCACAATGATTTGCCAGTAGGATAATAAGATTGTGCATATATTTTGTTCAATTAGTCATAATAATAATTATTCTATCAATTACAAAGATGAAAAAGTGAAGCGATCTGTAATAAAAAGAATGGTGAAAAACAGCATGATCAAACAAACAAGTGTTCAGGTAGAAGTAATTAATAACGGCTAAGAAGAACAAATGAACCGATTAAGGAATGTCAGATTGTTAGCAAAGCAAATAAACTTTGTTTTGATCATATGATAAGACTGAGGGATGGTAAGAGAGAGGGAGAGTTGAAAATATAAGTAAGGGATAGTGGTGACGTCTTGAGTTGGTTAGGTATTAATAGACCAAGGTAAGCATAATGGCTGTATGAACTTCTTTTGAATGCATTGTTTAGGCTGTATATTTCTAGTGTCTGTCGCCTCAGCTTTATGTAGCAGACAAATACGAAGTCTATTACACAAACTTACTTACTTTACTTTACTTCGGCTATCTCCTACGGGAGGATGAGCCGGCTTCATGAACGTCTCGAATCATCGCTGCCCAGGCGCGGCGATCTGAAGCAAGGTTTTGCGATAGGGATATCCAATTCTTGTTCCACATACGGAGTCCGTAGACGGTTTGTAGCCCCAGGCACTCCATATCTGCCTTGACTGTACCAAGCCATGTCTTCAGCTGTCCGCCTCTGCGACATCGCCAAGATGGTAATGGCGAGGGATTTAGAACTGATTTGACCAGATCGTCATCTGGTCGGCGCAGAACATGGCCAAACCACCGAAGGCGGCGTTGTTGGACCAGTACTGGAATTTGGTTGATGTTGTAGCAACGCCGACGCACTTCTTCGTTGGAGAGTTTGTCCTGCCAACGAACATGCAGAATGTACCTGAGACACCAATGGTCTAATACCTCGAGTCTGCGTAAATCTTCCGCGCGAAGAGGCCAGGTTTCACAGCCATACAGCAGAACGGGTCGTATGGAAGCTTGGTAGACCCGAATTTTAGTCCTGAGACTGATTTCTCTCTTGCTCCATAGAACGCTCCTCAGCTGTAGAAACGCATTCCGGGCGTTGGAGATTCGCGCATTCACTTCGTTTTTCGCTTGGCCGTTGGGGAGCATTATGGATCCCAGATATCTGAAGGATGGCACAATTTCAATAGGTGCTCCATTTAGGGATAAGATTTCATCATTGCCGGTGGATGTGTTCGAAAACATTTTGGTTTTGGAAGTGTTAATTTTCAAACCGATAGTAGGCGCGAGGTGGTTTATCTGGTCGAGCGCCTGTTGCATATCGGGGAAGTTTTCAGCTAACAGCACGACGTCGTCGGCGAATTCGAGGTCGGTTATGTGAATATCGGGCGAAAGTTGGACGCCGTGGTGCTCGGTTAGGGCGTGCCGCAAAATCCAATCAATTGTGAAATTGAACAGGATGGGGGATGCTGGACAACCTTGCCGGACACCGCTGGTTACCTCAAAAGTGCGGGACTCTTCACCGTTCACTCGGACTCGAGCTTTGGTGTTGGAGTAGTATGACCTGAGCAGGTTGATTAGCTTGGTCGGAACTCCGTCGAGCTCCATTAGATACCAGAGTGCTCCTCGATCAACTGAGTCGAATGCCGCTTGGAAGTCGATGAAGCAAGCAACCGTCGGCTGTTGGAATTTGTCCCTGTGTTCCAAAATTCTTCGCAGTGTGAATAATTGATCAACACAGCCTCTTCCAGGTCGAAATCCGGCTTGATTTGGCCTTGTTCGCACGTGGCGTTCGGCCGCGAAGCGGTTCAGGAGAATGGAAACAAAAACCTTAGCAGCGATATCAATCAGACTTATGCCTCGGTAGTTCTCGCATATTGACCTGTCTCCCTTTTTGTGGAACGGTAGCAGAACTGAGGTGCTCCAATCGGAAGGAATGGTTTCGGACTCCCAAATTGAGCAGAACAGCGAGTGCAGTGCATCGATTAGCGCTGGAGTGCAGGCCTTGTATATTTCTGGAGGTAGACCATCTTCGCCCGGAGCTTTTTTGTTTCTGAGTCTGTTAATTGTTTTAGCTATTTCGGTTGGAGTGGGTGGATCGCAGTCAACTACGTAGGGTGTTGGTAAGTGTCGTATCGGTCGATGAGACGGTTGACCAGCGTCGCGATTGAGTAGCTGCTTGAAGTGTTCGGCCCATCGTTCCATCTTACCATTGGTGTCCGAAATAATTTCTCCTGATGCTGTGCGTAACACAGCATGACTGTTAAGGCGTTTGCCAGATGATTGGCGTAAGAGGCGATAAAGTTTTCCGAAATCGCCTACATTTGATGCTGCTTCCATGTTAGTCGCCACGTTAGACCAATAGCGATTTCTGTCGTTCCTAGCAGACTGTGTAGCTTTGCGCCTGAGGGAGCGATAAACTGGAGACTTTGCTAGGCGAGCGTCTCTGGCTTGCGAGGATAGAAGCATGGTGTGCTCTGAAATCCAGTCTTTCTGCTTCTTGGATGTGGTACCCAAATGCGACATTGAAGCTTTAGAGACTACTTCTTTGAAATGATTCCATCGTGTCTCGGGTGTATTAGAAGATGTGGATGTTGGTTCATCTGCGGCGCTTAGTTCGGCCTGGATTTGTTTGGACAAGGCTTGTCGTTTTGTAGAACATTGAAGCGGGGCAACATTGATACGCTTCGGAGGTCGCGCCTTCTGGCGTGTCGTTAAACGAAGTTTGAATTTCGCCCTAACTAGAGTATGGTCTGATCCCCCTTTATTTCCGGCCTCTGCTCCACGATAGGATCGACAGTCTTCCACCGAGGAGATCCAGCGTGAGCGCACTAGGATGTAGTCGATCTGATGTGCAGTGCGACCGTCGTTCGAATACCAGGTGAGAAGATGTTTTCTGGGGTGTTGAAATCGAGTGTTGGTGATATATAATCGATTGTAATCAGAAAAAGCTAAAAGTCTATCACCATTACGGCAGCGCTGATCGAGACCGTGTTTGCCTAGTATATGTTTTGTCGCGTCGTCTGAAGGGCCAGTGCGGGCGTTCCAATCGCCGGCTACTATGAGAACGTCACGCTTTGGGATTTTGTTGATTGCCTCTTGAAGATTGTCATAAAATTCGTCTTTGATACTTTCATCAGAGTCGAGGGTTGGGGCATAGACAGCGAGAACAGAAATGTCGAGCGGGGAACCCTTGAACCTAGCGACTGCAACTCTGGAGTTGACCGGTTCGAATGATATTAGGGCATTATTGGCTTTGTTACTGAGAGCAAATGCTACCCCATGTTGTCCCGAATTATTCTGGGGGCCACTATGAAGCAACCAGAATGAAGAATCTGTTCCAGGAACGGCTATTCGGCGGGAGCCATGATCGGGTAACCTCACTTCAGATAGACACGCTATGTCTACCTTGTAGTCATATAAAGAACGCATGGTGATAGACTGGCTACCAGGATCCAACAGCGTCCTAACATTCCAGCAGCCAACAAATAGTTGGTTTCTAAGTGTTAATTTCCCAGCTAGCTTACTTTTCACACTGGCCACCGGGTGAGCACAGGGCGCGTCGCTTACCGGGAACGCCGTAGCATGGTGAGAGTTGTTTGTAGGAGAGTTCATGAAGTTTCTTGGGAATTTGGTACGAGTGATGTCCCCAGCATCGCTCGGCCTTTTGTTTGAGAGTGCAGCTCTAGCCTTTACACAGCCAAGTGTGACCTACAAGGCAGTAGGAGTGGAGTAAGGAGTCCACTATCCATTGGCAGCCGGTGACCGGAGTTCGGTTCATACGCCTTTTTGAATGGGGCCAGACATCCAGGACATCCAACAAGCCCTTTGTCCATACGTCTGCCGGTGAGCTAAAAAAAAAATCATACGCCAGTCGTTGGAGGTTTGGAATCAGGGTTTAGCCATCTCCCCTAGACTGTCATCCAATGGACAGTCAACCCGGTGGAGAGCGCCGGGCATCCGCTTTTGCCCTCTCACTTTAGTGAGAAACACCTCCGCCACGTGAAGGCAGTGAGTAGGACTTCCTCAGGAGAGGCTATGTAAGACGCACGGTCATATGGGAGCATTTCAAGAGGTGTGCGGAGGGGTGGCCAACCCGCAGCGCAAGACACCCACCCCCGACCATCCTGAGGCTTTGGAGGCACACAAACCAGCTGAATCACTTAATTCTATCTTATGCAAACCAAAAGATCCGATAGAAAAGGGAGATAAAATTAACACCATTTACAAAATAAATTGTGTGAACTGTAACAAACATTACATCGGCCAAAGTGGGCGTCCCCTTCGAATAAGAATCCAGGAACACAAATCAGCCGTGAAAAGACATGATATAAATTCTTTAGTATCAATACATTCAGACGATCATGGACATCAATTTGATTGGGATAATGTCAAAATCTTAAACAGAGGAAACACCAAATGTGCCAGAGAATTCCTAGAAGCCTGGTACTCAAATGAAAACGCAATTAATAAACACGTTAATATAGATGAAATATACCAACTAATAAGAAGTAAATCAGGTGATCAGAAAGTTTAAAATCCCAATCAATAGAAAACGGTCAATAAATATCTAAAGATGGTTACCGGGAGACTCATGAAGAAATTTAAATCATTTCACTTTATCCTAAATACTGCGCTGAAGATGTCGTCCAGAAAGACGATGAAAGCTCCGCAATTAAACCAAGGAGCTCAGAGAACACTATCAATTCCAAATCATCCACCTGAGTTACAAATCTTTTCTATTATTTCAAAATACGAAGTCTATTGGAAAGATCCAGTGGGATGTGATGAATCACCTTGAATGTTTTTATTTTCCTCACTAAATGACGACAATCAGCTAAATGTGACAAAACGGAGCTATGGATGGTTTTCGTCTATCCTTTGAGAAACCACACGCTGGCTAAGCTGTCTAGTAGTATATAACTGTCACCTCAGGAGCAGTTGAACTGATAAATGTGGCGTAACTATCTAACTTATCCCTCGTTTAAGTCACAATCATCTGTCGGCTAGAGATTTTCTGAGGTGAAACAACTTCAGCCAATACATTCTGTGCAAAGTTCCACGTGAATAAAGCCAGTCAGTCAACTCACTCAATAGCCTACATACATATCACCGAATAAGTATAAATATAAGCCAGTTATGAATGTGTCGCGTTTCACAACATTCTCTGTACACATATTCTATGGCCGGTTATATTATAGATTTTATTGCACACTTATTTGGGTGGGACTGTACTATCAGCGTAGAACTCTGCACAAATTTCTTCACTTCATATTAGAGTACTTCGGCCAGACTCGCATAAAAGTAGAAGTATAGAGAAAGCCCAACAGACTAAATGAAATGAAGAAAGAAAAGCTAGATCGGGATTTTCCGAATCTAGATGATAACAAGGACTAAATGCACCTGTGTCACTGTGAACGAATTTGAGCCACGTTACCAATAGTCTCCAACCACTGACTTAACATCTCAACGACTCTAGACAAGTAGTCTCTACCTCCCTACTTGGCTGAGATATTTCATAAATTGGTGCTATGTTTTCGTGTGATCATTATTGTAATTCTATATCAAATAATGTGGTTCCGCAAGAAGGGTGGAGGCTCGGCATGCTTAAGACGCCTTAGGCATCTCATTCGGTATAATTCCACGACTTCTCCTTATCTAACGCCACCTAACCTCATTATTTCCAATCATTTTGCTCCACCTAACACGAAAAATTAAACAGAGGCACGTATGATTGGAAGCAGCTAGTCTTGTCATATCTTTCGAATTCGAAGGTTGCTTCCCACAGCTATATAGTACGTGTGTTCTAAGATCGACAGTCGTATATCACATCGGCATCAAAGGTGAGGTGACTTAACAGATGCAAAACAGGCCCCTTGGATCCACACCAAGATTTCAACAGCAATCAGATATTTGAGTAAAACTAATTTGCTTGTGTAGAGTTATCACTGCTCAGGTCTGTAAGCAAAACGAGTTGGTTTCATGATGCTTCCTTTTTGATTGAATTACGGACTACATCAATTGTCCGTCCTTTTATGTTGTCAATGAATACTTATGTACTAGACATTGTGTAAGTCAAACTGCATATCTTTTGCAGGTTGTGAAGTCAATGTTTAAAAAATATATTATACGCCTCTGGTTTGTGGGTACATAGTCACTCCGTGTACTTTTGTTAAATATTGTGATAAATATCACTTGTAATTTTATTTGTAAACCTGATTGTACCAAGTCAATTGAGTTTATTGAGGATCTACTTGGTGAATGAAATATCACATAGTACTTAAGTGTACCATTCTCTGTTGCATAGAAAAAGAAGCCGTAAATTAACTTTTGGGGGGGTTTTCAAGAGTCAGAGCCAATTTTCAACAGGACAGTTTTTTACACGATTAACTATTATAAAACTTGTCCACAAAAGATTTAATCCTATTTTTCAACTAACCTGTGATATGTACTACTTGTTTCAGTAGTTCTGCAAGCAACAAAATCACTAGCCTCCACCCATTAAATATGACACGACTTACTTAGCTAATAAATAAAGTCAGTTGGAGCTTATTATTATTATCATTAATACATTACCTTCATTTCCATTTTATCTCTTTTCTTTTTCTAGCAGTCAAACAATAAATCTATGAAATCCCTGAGTATCCAACTTCATCGATTACGTTCAGAAAATATGCGATTAGATACATTATGTAAGAATTTATCACAAAAATCAGAAGAAAACGCTAAGCTGTTAAGTGCTCGGGATAAAGAAATATCTACATTATCTACTTTGTATAGTGAAACTGATAAATTGTATGAAAAAGAAAGGCAACGTTGTCGAGATTTAAGGTATTTCAAGGAAAATCTTTTGCTCTGTTCATTACAATTGACTTAATGTGTAAAAACAATTGTACTGTATAGTGACTAATGATTTTATCTATCTGCCTAAGAGTTAACAAATATTGAGATGTTATTCAATGCCCAAAATATTATTTCTTAGGGGAAATATTTTAAAGTAAGAATTTTTTTCCTTCACGTTCCCCAGTGGAACATAGGGCTTCAAGCTAGTGGCTTGTAGTTTCTGTAGCAGTGTTTATTTTACAGGATGGGGCTGCTAGCCTCATGCCCAACCTTTCCTCTTTACCAGGATTATTTCTGGCTTAGCGAGGCAAAGGAGTGCGTCTGTGGCCGGGGATAGAACCCCAAACCATGTGAATGGTTGGTGAGCATCCTTACTGCTATACCGCCGACGCAATTAAGAATAACGAGGCTTGATATTTGGCGGATTCTTTAGATCTCCATTTCTCCATATCTTGAAATTTCTGATTTCTTTACGCACAATTTTTAGTATTAGCATATATATCAAAAATTTTCTGCCTTATAAAATAATAGCGCGTATATTTATTTATTTAAACGCATAAAAACTTGTTACAATATGGCACCAAGAAGGATGCGCCACACGATAATAATAAAACAACATAGATCAAAAGAAAAAAATATATTAGTAGAGGACGGATAAAGAACATCATCTGGAAGGAAAACAGTCATGCTTAACAAGTTCAAACATTATTCGTTAACTATCATCGGGAAGGGAAGAAAGAAGGAAATTGCAATACGTGTAACAGCACGCGATAAGTTTCATTGATTGTTTGTTGCTTCATTCAATTCATTGTGTGAGGGCTGAGATACTGCCCGGGCGCCCAGACCGAAGCAGGTGGTTTTATTAAGGGACCACCCCCCGAGCCTTTGACTTGGAGTCTAATCCGCAAGGCAGCGGAGCAGTGTCAGGAGCTGCATTCCCATGGTTTCCGGTGACCCATATGGGTTCATACGCCATTTGATCCAACTGGATACTGGGGTCCACGTACCCCATGGTAACTGCTTTTAGTTTAACCGCTATCCAAACAACCTTCCTGACATGGTAGGACCTTCAGGGACAGATCCCAGTCAGTTTAGATGTTGAGTCATTACGGTATTACCACGACAAGGTAGCAGTTATCCGCCGGGAGCGCGTATATACTCTCATGTTTACATTTTTGAAGTGTTACTGCGTATTAATTCATCACTGGATCATTGGTAAAATGGCAGATAAACTTTCCACAGTTCAGAAATAAAAAAGCTTTTCTGCTCTTAATTGTTAGGATTGTCTTTCCATCTATCATTTTCACTTCGTCTATTCATTGACAGTCATTGAATATTTGTATTGACTAATACGTTACTGCAAATAATAGATTAGTTAAGTGTAACCTTTAAAATTCAAACAATTCTTTTTTAAATAGTATGCTTAATAAAATATTATTTCCAAGAACATCATATCCCTATCTCAAGGTAGTTATGTGAATGACAGTATAGATTCTGTTAAATTAGCCATTGCTAAAGGATGACTCTTCTTTACAAGCCTTTATGCATCTCTCAGTAAATCACATGAATGTGAAAACATATTATCCAGCTTTTAGTTCAGAAAATCTATTAGATAAATATTTTATTTTGGTTGCCTGCAAATGCCTTGGTAAATCGGCTAACTAGTTCATTGTGAATGCAATCCAATTAGTCAGATCGTACGCTATCATTTTGTATTCAATTCTAAAAGCTTCTATCCCAACGACTGGTAATCCCGTGATCCTTTTATTGGCTTATTCACCTGCTAAAAATTCTGTCAGTAGTAGGACAGGATACTTCATTTTTACAATTTTCTTAATCACATTTTTTAAAGATACTCAATGGTTAAGCAGTAACATTACTACCTTTTCACTTTATAGAACGGAAATATCAAGTTTAAAACAATTTCTTCGTGAAGCTGAAACTATGAAGGCTGAAGCTATCCAACTTCGGAAAGAAACTGAAGACATGCAAAATGTGAAGAAATTAATATCTTGTATGTCTTCTTTTTCACTCTTATTCTATGTACAAAATGTATAGATAGGCAGATTTTGAACCACTGCACTTAAGATTGAACACGATTGTTATTGCGAGTTCCCCTGACACTATCAGAAAAACAAAACTTTCCGCCAGCATTTGTGCAGTGGCGGCACTTCAGGCTAACCTAGAGAGGTAGTGTACCCCTATGGTTTTAAAAATGCAGTAGAAAATCTCGCGTCCCACGTCTGCACCGATTTAACCATTCAGTTGTTTAGAATTCCCTCTTGCAAAGCCCTTTCGTACATTAATGTTTCAGAGTATATCACACTAATAAATAATTCTTGATTGGAATTTCACTAACTTGTATGCCATCGCAACGTAAGAAGATATTATCCACATTAGTGAACATAAGGTACTATTGTAACAACAGAAGACGAGGGCCAAGCAGCAGATCGTTTATTTAGGAAATCAGCACATATTTATAGATTTTCATGTACATATTATAGATTATTGTTAGCAGAAAAACACAGTCTTCTGATTAGTTGTTTCTCACGGACAGTTAACCTTGCATCTCTTTGCGGCTGTTTCTTGAATTTCAGATCATCTGTATGCTAACCGTGTCCGCCTACACAAAGCCCTTGTCCTCATTTTTCTCACGACCAATATTTTGGACATAAACATTGACGTAAATTACTGTCCACCAATTTCGACTAACAGCCAGCTATCACCACACTATTACTCTTCAAAGCAGATTTATACGAATATAATCTTGAAAAGTGTCACACGAATGTCATCAATTACGTTTATATTCCTACACAAAAGCGATAAGAAATCGTGATATGCCAACGGATGTATTGCGCTTGTAGGTGTAGCACCGTAAATTTCACAAACACTTCCATTTTTGCATAAGATAAATATTCAATATTGGAGAGATTTATCTCATTCCTATCGTTAACATGAAAGTACCTACTATTTATTTGACAGTTTGTTCAGTGTAATGCATTTTTTGACCAGTGTTTATAGTCTGTTAATTATGTCTATATTTTCTGTAGAATTTATGGTATATATAAGTTTGAATATTTATTATTATCACTCTTTATTCTTTTGCGTCCCAAATGTAACATAGGGCTTCAGAGTTTCAGCAGCAGTGGTGTTGTTTTTTACAGGGTGTGCTTTCCATCCTCACACCCAACCTTAACTCTTCGTCAGGTATTTTAATACTGGTTAAGTGAGGTTTAGGTGTGCATCGGCCAGGGTTCGAACATCGAGCCACGCACATAGTTGGCGAGCATTCTAATGCTGAACCACCGACGCATAAAGCCAAGGAGTGCAGAACAACTCTTCCGTCCGAGTTTGGGACTTTTTGGCAGTATACATACACCAGAGTTCGAACCCAGGACCCTCCAATTACAAGTCAAGCTTGTAAACACCTCGTCGCCGGGGGGGGAGCTCGAACCCACAGCCGCTGGGGTAAAAATTCGACGCACTACCCATTGTGCTACGGGGATCGTAGTATTTCAGTTAAGCCTGATTTATACTCTCGATTTTCCCTATGGCTTAAAATCACCCACTTTTAATATCGATGAGGTGAGTATTATGTACTCATTGCCATGAAATATACCTTCATTACTATGACATTAAAACTAATGCTATTTTTACTATTTAATATAGCATCAGAAGATGCTGCACGTGAGTTATTTTCTCGGTACACATCGAAATATGAGGATTCATCAAATGGTTCGTTAAATAAAAGTCAAAATAATTCAGAATTATTATCACTTTGTAAATGGGCATCTGTTCTACGATCAGAATTGACAGCTACCCGTGAGAAACTTAGAAGTTATCGAACAGAATTATCTCGTGTCCGAAAACTTCAAATTTCTGCTTCACAAAAAATAGCACGTGCCGAAAATAATGCCAATGAATACAAACAACGTGTTCATACTTTAGAAAATGAATTATCGAAATTAATTGGACAAATCCGCTCGACTACTAATGACAAGAAGGAGCAACAAGTATCATCGAACAGTCCTCATAATCAGACAACATATAAAACGCCTACTGCATCAATTTCATGTCGTCCTTCTACTTCATCTGTGTCTCCTGGATGTCCATTAGCTCTGAATGATAGCTTGCTAGTTACACCACCGGTAAAACCAACAACTAAAGAATTAACAACACCTGATTTTCTGTTACTGAGTAGTCCACGGGAACAATCAGCTACTGTCACTCCAAAGGTTAGTAGTCATTGTTATCATTATCATCAAACTTTTATCAATATCTAGCCAAAGTTACATTAAAATTAAGTTAATAATGACAGTGTTTGGCACGTGGTTTATAAATGATCTGCAAGGATTGTATGAAGACTAGAAATACAATCTATTTGCCAATATTCGGTAGTGGGTGTGCACAGTTTCAGCATCGTAACTCATAGACTAGAAATGAAGTTCTTAGACAAATGGACTGTAACTCCACACTAACCTCTATTCGTCCAGATTTATTACATATAAGGAACTAGAACAAAGAGTATTTAAGCTACTTTTAATTGGATTTTATATTATCTTATTTGGACAAATGTTTGCGCAAGCATCACAGGTAGGAATATCTTATAGACATAAATTAAGTTTACTAAGAAAGGATATGATGTGCACTTCACATGTGCGGATTGGCGAATTACTAGTGATTAGTATTGCTGCCAAGTCTTGATTGCTAATTAAATACCATCTGTTATACATGCAGTATAATCAATAAACGGGATGGCACCACACTGCAATGCAGCGATTAATGTTAGTTAGATGGGTAGAATCAATCAATAAAGATTCATAGACTTGAATGGGAACGTGGTTATAATCACTGTTTAGTGATGTGTATCTACAACCTTGAAAACACTCATGTTCTTTTGATGGAAACCGACACGAAAAGTCGATTGGCTTCCAACGCCACATGCATAAACTGGTTACTTAATCAATTAATATTAAAAATAACTGTCATTACAGGAGAAATTTAGATCACTAGTTATTCTGTCGACCATTAATAATCTTCTAGGAGTGTCCTGTAAACTGTGATCGTGGTAAAAACTGCACTGACATGCCGATCATTCACCACCATAAAACTTCAGTTTTGAAAAAAAATTAGTTAACTTATAGTAGTATATGTTTTTAACATTATATTACTCGAAAACATTTTAAATGACCTGAAGTTATTGTGTTATAGTTGTTTTTTAGAAATTTATTTTCTTTTTGATTATAGACGGATTTTGTAACTCCTGCCAATCCATTCCGTGTTGCTCAGAAACAGCCGCCAGCTAGTCCTCCGAAGCTAAGTATTTCTACTTCACAAACTTATAGTCGTACTTTATTATTTTCACCTGAAATAAGTGCTGTTGATAAAAATTCTAGTAAGAGCAACCCCGCCAATCAAAGACGACCATCTAGCTTTTATCAAATGTCAATTATGCGTCAACATTCAAAAATTGCTGACAGGTATACCGTGCCGAATTATAATAATAAATCTGTCAGTAGCAAACTTCAATTCCCTAAACCACTTCAAAAAACTGATGTGAAATTAACCAAGTCTATTGAAAATAAAGTAGACAGTATTGGTGCTGGGGCGAAACGTGTAGTACACAGTGTAAAAAAATCTGTTCCATATAATTCTAAAACTTCTAAACTGGATAATTTTGTAATGAAGTTGTAAAGTGATCTTTCATTATTACTGTTTTTTATCATTTTAATAAACCAAAATCAAGTATTTTATTGAAGATGATTTGGTAGTGAGAATGGTATGGTGTAGTTCAGTGGATACTGTAGTCTAATAATCTTGGGGAATTATTTATCTCCACAAGACTATCGGTGACATACATGACTTAAAATTGTTTTCAATGTAACATCTAACCAATCAAATACACTAACAATGATATTAGACTATTTTATAGGATAGCATCATTCAATTAGACTTATTTTTCACTGACGAGGAAGTTCAGACGGTTCTCCTGAATGACCATCCATTGAAGAGAACCCAGAAACTTCTGAATATACTGATAATGACTAAAACATCGGTGACTTCTATTCTGTTGATTCGCTTTAAACATTTATACGTGGTAAGTGCATGACAATACACTAAAGTGATTTCTTATTTGATGGACTGCGAACAAATTAATTGCATTATAGATTACTTGGCTTAACATGAAATTTAACAGTTAAAGATTGATCTTGAAGAATTTAAAGTTTACGCGCACTTTTTTAACCTTAGAATCTAACTATAGGAAGAAAAATTCAAAGAAGCATTTAGTTTTATTTACACAAAAATGAGTACATATATATATATGATGGTACATTGAATTCAGTTTCTATTTACCGCGCTTTTTCGAGCTGTCTAAATTTTTACTTGTCATCGACTCATTCGCAGGGCATTCAATAATATATCTTTGAGGAATCCTGATAGCTGGAGCATAACCTTCAGGGTAAGATGAATCTTCGAAATAAAGAGAATATTCGTCATGTACCTAAAGCATTTTTAAAAGACACGAATTAGAAAGTAATATGCAGTTCGGTCCCCTAAGCTGTGATTTACTCAATTGTACAAGAGTTAAAAATACCATATTGAATGAGGCAGGGTTGAACTGATGAAAAATAGTTAACAACCAACTGTCTAAGCGTAAGTTCAACACGATGTGACGTACATCATGACAAAAGGTAAAATCTACTAAGCGCTTGGCATAAATTGTATATTTCCGGAGACCAATCAACTGTTTCGCTACCTGAACCGGTTTACTTGATAACGTTTTTTTAGACAGTTGGTGTCTTATAGGCCTAGTGTTCCAGTCATTTATTACTAAACAAACTAAAAAGTCCGACATTTTGGCGCGAAAACTCTTGGTGGTAGTGACAATACTCAGCATTTACACCCTTCATTTGGAAAAACCTGCGGGAATTTTCTCGTTAAAGCAGACTTCTATGTGCTTGTGAATACGATATAAGTGGTTTATGGACACATCTGTCTGTAGCAGAGGTCCTTAATTTTTTATCTCTATAATACCAAATGGCATACAAATCCAGGTCGTTGGGGGTGGGTGTTGAAAACAAGGAGTTTTGCTAAAAAAGATTCCGCATAATGCCAACAAAGAATACAATCGATCCTGTAATGCACCTGCACCTTATATGAGGCAGAGAAGAATTAGATTTCTTAGGCTCATTTAAAACTGATGAATGTCGAAAAAACTATACGATTTATGTATGAACTTATTCAGCACGACAGAATTTGTTATGAGTAACCATAAAGATTATAACAAGCATGAAAAGTACTGTAGATCACACCTACATTGACACCGAAAACTTTATAAATAAAATCTTAACCAATAGGAGTCTTAAAATAGCTAAATACTGAGATGCACATGCTGAATACTGCAAAATATATTATTGCATAGAAATTTAGGAGTGCGTTGGCGGGGGCATCGGACCAATACGTGGCGAGCATTCGACTGCTGCAACACCGACGCACTCCTATACCTAGCTTAGTTGGTAGTAAGCCCGGCAAAGAGGAGAAGCTGACGGTGAGACTACCAACCTCTTCCTGTAAAAGAAAAGCCATTGTCGCTGAATCTTCAAAGCTCAAATTTGAAGCTCCATGTTCCACTGGGAATTTACAAGAGTAAAATAAGACAATAAATAATTAGCTTACGTGAGTTGGGATTTCGTCCACGATCGCCTTGTAGAAACATGTCGTTTGTGGATAAAGAGCTAAAACTGTCTATAAAAAAGAAAAATAATGTTTATGATAATGGTTATTATTAATTATGAATAGTAAAATCTCCTAAAATGATGTTAGGTTAGAAAAGTCAGGATGACGATTTTCTCTGTTTTCTGTACAGCACGATAAGAAAAACACTTCAATAGCAACTTTTAAAATACGTACCTGAGATAGTAATGTAACTTTACTAAGAAGTCAAGTCACATACTTTTGAGGCAGGAAAAATCTGAAGACTTATTCTACAGTTTTCATTGTGTTTAAAGATATGCGAACAAATACTTAACAATAAACATCCAAATAAATATTCTGCCATTCATGTATTGGACTTTGGCAGGAAATGTCAGTCTATTTACTTAGGGGTTATTTATTGAAAATAATTGACTTTTAACCCATCCGTTTATTTTGAAAAACAAGCTGTTACTAAAATAGGTTATGTAGCAACATAAAGAGGGCGTTCATTACGTGGCCTTTGCATAGATCAACATATGTGGTTGGGTTTATTACGTATGATGAGCTTAAGTTTATTTTTTCTTATGCCGCGACTCATAATTATATCCTATAATCAGAAAACATTAGCAAATTATTATTATTCCAAAGGAAAGTAGTTGCATTCATCATATCACTATGTGAATCTGCTGACCCAGTTACAACTAACTGGTAATTACAGCATTAGAACACTCCTGAAAACTCATGAGAATATGCTTTCAGTTAACTCAAAAAAGTGACTAGTGTAAAAAGAACATTATTTTCAAAATCTTCAGGCTCTACAATCACGTGTATGTGGGAGGGGTAATATACGCTCCAACTGTTACTATAATACAGTTCAAAATACGTGTGGATACGCAATACTTTTAATAAATATGATAATAAACCAACTGTGAGATAACTAATGGAGTTTTCTTTGATTGGACACTAGTAACTAATGTGATGTGTCTAGTTCTTTCTTTGGTGCAGACTGAATTCTGGAATTTTCTCTGAATTGGTTATAGATGACAATGAATGGTTTAAAGTGAATTCTATTCGGTCTAATTAAAATGGCACACAAGTGACTGTAAGACTAATAACCAAAGATAATTTAAGATGCTAAAAGGATTATTTATAGTTTTCACATAAAACTGTAGGACTCTTTGGGCTTAATGATTCAGTGTTTAATGATAAAATCATTACACCGTTATTTATTATTATTATTAATAATTCTAATATGGACATGAGACTATAGAACCTGCGGAAGCAGATACCAAAAAGAATCTTCTTGGTTTATTAATCAGTAATTGAATTTAGCCAACTTTTCTTAATAAAGATATGGAAGGCTACTGTTTGTCTTTAGATGAAATATATGTTACTAGGCATGAGATCGCCACCACCTTGATTATCAAAATTAGGTGTTTAGTGATATATCACAATCTTAAGTAAATATTTCATATATAATCATAATAATAACCTCATTTACCGTGCCCTTTTTGAATATAGCTTCAGGGTGTGTGACTGGATTCGCCTTCCATTTAGGTAATGGTATCACTTTGGAGCGTGGTAGAGTATAACGCCTAAATACAGTGGAGAAATAGGTGTATTCAGATCAAAATAGATTGTATAAAAGTAATGGCAAAACGCAGGTACATACAGTAAAGAAATTATATATATATATATATATATATATATATATATATATATATATATACCTTAAAGCATAAGGGTTTATGACAGGATTCATGGTTAAATAAATTAGTTCAATTGCAATAAACTGACGCGATATACACTACATAAAAACAACTGATAGAGTAAAAATCACCAAAATAAAATTCAGATATACCGTTTATGATATATCATCTCCATTACACTACACTTAGTGTGGAAATAGATGAAAAAATGCACACAGCATGCATAAGAGTTTATTTCGAATACAATGAAGAATTCGGATATATGTATGCATTTAATGATGGGCAGGTTAAACTAATGATGATGACAGTAGTAACACAAGAATCAAAAGATAGCTGATGAGTTTAAATGTCTGTGATATATCACAACAGGAGACTTTGTTAAGGGCAGTAAATATTGAATATGAACAACTAAAAGAGAAATACTCACTTGGGCCTAGATATTGTGTAAAACAAATCAGGATGTGTTGAATTTTTTTACCAATTATACAGAAAAGTTTTTCACATTGTAAAAATATGTCTATATATAACACTGATGGCTGATGAAATATATATATCCTTATCATTTTCTAGAGTGATTGTTAACTAAATGTAAAGTAAAATTTACGGATTGACAGAAGTTAGAATTCATGGGTCGCCAGATTCCATCCCAGTGACTCAGTGGTCAATAAGCTCGCCTTGTAAGCTGAATTCTATCCCTGGTGGATCATGGATGTGTACTGATGAATAGTCTCAAGACTGGGGTTTTCAGTGGCTCTCTGATAGATTGATCAAACTTTAAAGTATTTAAGACATAAAAACTTCGCAAAACCGTTTATTAACTAACCAACAAAGGCTGCCTGAAACTTACGCAGTATTGATATACTGTTACATGCTTTGCTCTATATTAAGTAATGGGACTGCTAATACTAGAGCTGTTCTGGACCTAACTTATGACATTAGCTATGCTTCAAAATAGAGGGGGTTGGATACTAGCACTGTGATTTTCATGATAGGAAGTGAAAATTTTAAACACCCCACCCAAAACCACTAAGGAAGGTTTCTTTGTCTTTGATTAGTTGAGCTAGGAGTCTGATGTTAAGTTAGAAATCCTAAGGAAATCAAACGAAAATGGAAAATATTACTAACAAATAACGGCCCACACCGACTCATCGGAGAATTTATAGAAACTCACAGGGATGAAAAGATTAGTAACGCAAAAATCATTATAGCATGACTAATAAAGACCTTACGGCCTATAAATTACTATCCTCTAAGGAAGGATATCTAAAGCACTACTTAGGATTTTCAAAATATCTAGAATTATGGTGACATTTAGACTTACGAGCTTATCCTTGGACGAACTTGGTATCTGAGACACGCCATGCGACTATTAATTATGCAATGATATTCTATTTATCTCAGATGTATTAATAATTGCGTTTGGCAATGGGCTAAACCACCTTAACTTTATATGCTATCCAGGATCTGCGTGAAAGCTAAAAATACCTACGTATAACGTAAACAAGTGCCAAGGAAACAGTCAAATAAGCTACGGGAGGAGTATATTTGAAATGAAGCCAAAAACATAAATTACCGAGCCCTACGAGCGATGCAGTGAAAAGGAAGCAAACGAATGAAAGTAACAGTGGAAGTAAACATGTCGAAACTGAATAAACTGAGTTCAGTAGGTAAAGACCAATACAATCTAGTTAATAGCTGTCTTAATCCAAAGCAATTTAATTGAAAGGGGTCACATACGGTCAGCGTTCGGTGAATACATTAATTCATGTCATAATGGATACCTACACTTGATTAGCATGCAAAACGCTACCAACGAATTCAAATCCTAACTTCAGAAAATCAAACTTACATTTTTCCTTCTTCAGCATCAACATCTTCAACTTCATAGATTGCCTTGTCAGTATTGTATGAAACAACCTCAGCTAAAATACAACCTTCAGATAGGTTACACGCAGCAGCTACAACATCTGGTTCAGGAACGAGGGCAGCAACGTGATCCCCAGGATCAGCAGCAATGTTTGGTGATGGTCCTATCGCACCACATAGAGCAGGAGGACTGAAATATAAGCACCTATGTATATATCTAAAACCAACCTCTCACCAGGTTTTCCAACCCAAAGTGGAATAGATTTAGCATTTTCTTGTAAGACTGACATTAGTACACCTCGACGAAAACTTTTTGGACCAACAAGTGACCCTAAAATCGCTATAACATGAGTCAGTTCTACTCACTTATCCTATATTCTAAAGCACGAATTTCTGAGACCTTTTCTAAAGCAGCCATAAGTGTCCTGTAAAAATTAAGAGAAGTGTTATTCAACTGACGCACGCTTTTTGTTGTTCAGCTTCATTAAGGGCTTGGTTATATAAAGACTTTAGCTGACTTTTATTAGCTGTAATCGGCGTAAAATAAAATAACAAATTAACTTACTTTTAGAACCACGTTGTTTAAACCGTAATTTATCAAGTGAATCCAGTGTCGGCTTTACAGTACTACAGTCAGCCTATTGAAGTTAAAATTATACACATTGAAACATACTATTGCTTGTTTACATAGGGAAAGAAGTTCATCAGCACGATCTTTCACTTCAGCTTGTTCCGGTAACATAGTGTTTATGAAGGCCATCATCAAATATCAATCCTACAATATTGACAATAGAAGATAAGGAAAGTTAGGCTGTCATTAGAGAAATTAGAGAACACCAACATATGATCGATACCATCCTCTGCATACAGAATAACAGCAGAGCAACACAGATGATGAGATTTAGACAACAACAATGCGAAAAAACATGAAGAAACCGACGAGGAATAAATATTCTTATTGACGCTGTCTAAAAAGCATTCGATGTTGGGTGATAGCCGACCACTTCCATTTAGATGAACTATCTACCTTGCAAAGTTCAGAATGATGCCACAGCATCAATTAATCGTTAGTTTAGTGCGTTACTTAACAAGAGTTTGGCATGACTTGAATATTATTCCACTTATCTCAACCTATATCTACACTACAACCTATTATTATTATTACTATTCTGCTTTTATGACTACACCGAATGACCAACGGGGTTAGGTCAAACTCCATTCACGGCAGCAATACAATCCTAACTATGCATACTACAAACCACATTCGACCAATCCCGCACACTCCTCCTGGAGTACAGAGCTAAAGCAGTCGAGTGTCGGACTTACTATGCAGAAGCACCGAAGATCTGGAACCTCTAACTCAATCAAGAGCGAGCTCAAAGAAATCACTGGTTTATACTAGCTGTAACTTATAAAGGGAGTCGTGATATAAATGATCGTCGGTATTACATCTTTTTCTAACTAACAGTTGGTAAGCATACTTTTTACAGTCACAATATGGAGAACTAAACATATGTTTCAGATGTCGGTCTGTGAACAGCAAGAATTCTGAAAATGTGGGGAAGAAACGATGTTGTCGATAGTTTCAGCCACACGAAACTGCTGCTGTAACCACCGAATAGGGGAGGAGAGTGGAGCATTGTCAGAAGAGGTAGGCAATACGAAGTGTCTAATTTCCATATTAATTTTTAAATGAAAGAGTTCCAAAAAATATCCTAAATTCCTTTGATTGCAGAGTCCCGTTAACGTCGACGTAAACGGACTGGTCAGTCCAAACTTGGAACAAAAATTTCATATCACCCAAATAATTTGGACAATTCGGTCTGCGCATATATATTTAATGTAATATAAATCACATCATGCACACTAAATTCTTATATTATTTAAGTGAAGTACGAAAAACAAGGTAATTTAGTTTTCGAAACTGCCTCGGGGCAGTTACCCGAGGCAGCTCAAAAGAATTCTTTTGAGCTAAGATCTTAGCTCGTGAAAATTGACTAAGTGATAAACAACCGAAATAGAGATTGAATAATGAATTTCTAGAGAAGAAGGACAAAGTGAGTAACTCATTTTGTATTTTTCCTCATGTTTTATCTTCTTTACACATGTGCATTTCCGATTGAAGAATTTATAATACACGAGTGTTTGACCACTGAAGAAAATAACAGCATGAATATAATTTAAAACATCCGAGATTTGAAGAAACAGAAAAGTAGGCACAGCTGCCTTATTATGACTAACTTCGTGGCACTAATACCGTTTAAAGAAATAACTGGAAAAAGTTGAGTTTTTGATTATCTGAATTTCATACGATGGCAACTCCACAATTTTGATGCTATCAAAGTATAATTAATTTCATAGCAAGCATTCTTGTGCTTATTACCTAATTAATTACTTCGTAAACCCACTTTTTGAGATCGATGAAGTGACCTTGAAAAAGGAACTCTTGATTCATATCTTCCACCTTTTCCAATATCCAATATCGTTTTTACGAGCTAGTATAAACCAATTCGATTTCTTTGTGCTCGCCTCTTGATTGTAGGGTATAGGTTCCTGATCTTCAGTAAACTTCTGCGTAGCTTGTCCTGCCACTCGACTGTCGTAGCTTTGGTTGACTCCAAAGGGAGTAGTGCTGGGATTAATTATATGTGGTTTGTAGTATTAGGTATGTTAAGACTGTTACTACTGTGATTGGAGTTGATCCTTTCGCCAGTTAGTCCTTCGGTATTGTCGACAAGAGAAAAGAGATAGTAATAATAATAATAAATAATAATAGATATAATTAGTGAAGCTGTTCAGACTAAGAGACAGAAAAGGAAATAGGAAACGTTACAACAGTCAGCTCATTAAGTTTGAAGAATAATATATATATCGGTAATAGTAATAATAATAGTAATTATAATATTAATAAGTTGTCAGGAGAGTAAGACGGAAGAGAATGTAAAGAAGTAAAATGACGAGTTTAATTATCTACCCCTGATTGGTATATGCGATTCTAAGGAGATAGGCCATTTAGATGCAGTCCTTGTATCGCTGCATGGTTGTTCAGCCTTCGCTTAGAGGCGTCCAAAGACGGTGCCATAGCTACATCTGCCGGTAAGGAATTCCAGGGACGGCAAACCCGCAGTGAAAAGAAGTGGGAGCGCACCCGAGTCCTTGCCCTCTGGTGAGCTATCCTTCTGGGATTTCCACGTGGAAGCCTATACCTACTCAATGGCAGAACACCTTTGTTTGGGTGATTCTGGTCATTTGTTATTTTGTAGGCAGTAATCAAATCCCCTCTAAGCCGACGGTAACTAAGTGTGAACAGGCCTAATTTCTTCAGCCTTTCATCATATGGTTTGTTTCGGAGACCAACCACTCCTTTTGTTGTCCGTCGTTGGACTCTTTCCAGTAGGTTGGCGTCTCTTCTCAGCATTGGGGGTGCAATAATATTATGCACCTCAAGGTGTGGTCTGACGTATGTTTTGTACAACATTAGAAAGAGCTCAGGAGTGAGTGCACCTAACTGTCTATGCGTAAAGTGTATGACCGCATATGCCCTCGCTACATCCCCTGTGTAATTTACGCTTGTGTCCACTTTTTCCATTAGAACTAGACCTAAGTCGCCACAGCGTAAACCAATTTGATTTCTTTGTACTCTCTTACTGGTAGTGTGGTTAATATTCTTGCTCTTTGGCAAGATTCTGCGTAAATGTCAATGCTTTGTCTACTGTTGTAGCTTTGGTTGACTCAAAAAGGAATGGTTCGTTGATTAAATATGTGTTGTTTGCAGTATGCACTGTATTTAGACCGTGTCTCTACTGTGAACGGAGTTGATCCTTTCACCAGTTAGTCTTCCAGTGTCGTCGAAAAAATAAAGGAGATAATAATAAAAGATACAGTTAGTGTAGGTAATACAGACTAAAAGGCAGAAAATAAAGAAAACGCAATAACAGACGCCTAATTCAATTTGAAGTTGTTATATATAGATATAATAGCAATAATAAGAAGTGTAAGTGTAGTATTTCGACTATTCAGGAGACTAAGACAATGGAGAATGGAGGAAAGTAAACCAATGAGATTAGATGTCTACCCATTAATAGGGTATGAGATTATAAGCAGATAGTCCATTTGAACGTAGTCCTTGTGTCGCTGTACGATTGTCCAGCCTTCGCCTGAAGGTGTCCAGAGACAGTGTCGTAGCTGCCGGCAAAGACTTTCAGGGGTGACAAACCTGAAGCGAAAATTTTGGAAGCGCACTCGAGCTATTGCCCTCTGGCGAGCTATCCTTCTAAGATTTCCACGAGGAAGCTCATAGGTTTTTAATGACAGAACACCTTTGTTCGGGTTATTCCGGTCATTTGTAAACTTATGGGCAATCATCAGGTCTCCTATTAGCCGACGGTAGTTAAAAGTAGACGGACCTAATTTCTATAGACGTTCATTATGTGGTTTTTTTCGGAGAACCATATGTCAATGGAGTTGAAGATTGAACGATCAATTCTTGGTTGTTTGCTCAAAATCAACTTCCCCAATTTTCGCGGAGGCATCAATACGACAGTCATCGTCTCATCGGTCGCTGTTCAGAAAGAAGAGTGAAACATCGTCAGAAGTAATACAATGATTTATTATTGTAATATTTGTTTTCAGACCTTAGTTCGCTTATTCTTTTTATATGTTGGTGTAACAATAAAGAAATATCAAACGGCAGATCGGTGTTTTGGTTTTTTCGTCCGTTATAACTAAGCGTTTCTGAAATCTTCGAAGAACAGCGTGGGCCCGAGCGTAGCGAGAGCTGGGCATTAACGGTTTATGAGACGTGATTGACAGTTTCTGACGATGAAACAGATCTGGCGGATTCAAACAGTTGGTGAAAGTTTGGATAGTCGCCGTTCATTTTCCTGGTGCCGGTCAAGTCCTCTTTGAACAAGCAATATCTGGAACTTTTTGGAATTGGGTCAAGTTCAACAATGCCTGGGTCAAAGAAGGGACAGAGTGTCTTGGATGCAAACAGGAAAGTAAGTCATGGTGACTTGTCTGTTAATTGTAACGATGTGTCTGATGTTAAGCATGACATGGTTGATGTTACTGTTTCGCCGTTCAGGGATAATAGGAACATCAAACTCCCTAAATTTGAACCACGGTGTTTTGATGGAAACCCGGCTGATTATTTACAATTTGTAAAGGAGTTTGAGATCATGTTGAGTGGTTTTTTATTAAATGATGAATTGAAGTTAATGTATTTGATGAGATATTGCACTGGAGATGCTGCAAGAGCTATACAGTGCTGTAAGTTTATGAAGCCAAAAGAGGGCTACTACGAGGCTATGAGCATATTACGTCAAAGGTTTGGAAGACCTTCGATGATTGCAGGGAAATTATTCGAGGCTGTTAAGGGTAATGGTGGTCAATTACAGGATGACTCCCAGGCACTCACTGAGTTTTTAGATAATTTGCTAATTTACAAGAATGGAATGATTTCGATGAATCGCATGAGTGACCTCAACTCGAGTTTTATACTAGAAGTAATAGCAAGACGTCTACCTACTCGACTGCAAAGGAAGTGGGTGAAGATAAGCTCCCGTATGGAGGATGAGGGTATCGAGCCAAAGTTTGATGATATCCTGAAACTGGTAAATACTAGTGTCAATCAATCTATGAGCAAGTTCGCCAGTCTATTACATCTCACCCCTAGAATAGAGCAGTCTGAGGGTAAAATGCAATCATTGATGACGAAAGGGCCTCAGAGAGGTGGATATCGAGAAGGCTCCATGATGTCTAGTAATGCATATAGACCTAGTGAGTGTAACAGGTTTCGTAGTACATCCTCAACAGATAAGTTACAAGATGCAAGACAAACACGGTTGTGTTTTACACGTGTGCAAGAGGTGCATACAGAAGTGAACTGTGAACCAGTGAGCAAGTTCAGTGATAAGCTAAATGTAAACTCCAGGCCTGACTCCGAATTGTGTGACGATAACGGTGCGGTGAAGAAGTCTGTAGTTGCAACTGGTAAGCCGTTGTTGAATAGAGTGTCACAGAATAGAGTTACTGCTTCAGAGTGCAGTTCTGACTCCACAAGTTTACAAGGTATACTAGTCAGAGTGAAGTTATAAAACCTTTAATGATTTGTGAGGAGGAACCAAAATTGTCTACTTCTGTTATTAAAGAGTTTGAAAATGATGAAGTTGACGGTAAAGTGAATATTCGTGATAATGATCATGATACTTCACAGTTGTCTTTGGTTGATCATGATGAGATGAGGGATATGCCTACTACTGCTAAGTTAAATAAAGGTTCTGTACAACTACAACGTGAAGTAGAATTGAACGCAGATGCAGTTCCAGAAGGTGTGCATACTTGTGAGACAGTCAGTGTAATTGATCAGCGTGTAGCCCACCTATCATCAGATGATAGTGCTAAACCCGAACTAGTAGTGAAAGACAGCAGTGGTGGTAATCTTGCAGTTGGACAACTATCTGAAAGCCGAAAAAGAACAGCTTCTGATCCACCGCTAAGTTCATCACCTTGTGTCACTCAGTCATCGTTGGTGTTTTCATCCACAATGAAACAGATGCCCATCAACTCAAGTATCTTGTGCAATGACTATGATAGTATTGGTGCGTTTGAAAAGACGAAAGATATTGCTCAGTTTAGTGAGAATAAGCCAAGTGTAAACGAGAGAGTAATTGTTAAATTGACTTGCACGAATAAAGGCATTTCTAGTTTCAAGTTACTATTTGAATGTTATTATCTTTGGTGTAAATTACTCTGTTTCTATACTTGGTTGATGAGATATGTCGTGTGTTTGTTGGTCATCTATATTCTACGATACAATGACATGGGCGTGTTGCCGTTCAGATTTGAGGATATAGCTCATAGAAGGAAGTTAGCAAATGAACTCTGCGACGATTTTCCAACCTAGGGCGTCAACCTGAGAAGGGTTGTAGGCGTACTGCTGTAAGTCCTACAATTCTTCAAAGGGTAGCGCATCAATGAGCAGTCCAATGTGCTTGGTGTGTGATTTTGTACATATGTTCATATTGTATATACTGAATTGATATCATCTGTCATCTAGCTGTTGGTAATTCTGTTTGTGTCCGGACGACTTCCACTTGGATCATCAACCTGAGAAGGAATGTAGGCGTACTGCTGTAAGTCCTACAGTTCTTCAAGGGTAGTTTGTCGTGCCAGAATCCACAACATTTGATGTGTTGATTGTACATATGTTTGTGTTAAATAGTTGTGTGAGTTCCAATTGATGTAATTGTTGGTTAATCTTGTTTGTGTCCGGACATTCCACAAATTACAATCGTCAACCTGAGAAGGGTTGTAGGCGTACTGGTGTAAGTCCTGCAATTCTTCAAAGGAATTCCACCAAGACATGATCGCGAGGTTGTTTGTACTATTTGTATATACGTGTGGTGTGTCATATCAATTGGTGTTTTTGGATTCATTGTGTTTACTTGTTGTTTTCGTGTCTTGTTGTTATTGCGTAATTTTGTTAAAATTTTCGTCGTGATTACTTCTGAAGTTGTTTCGAGTCTTCTACATCCATGAATGAATTGATTGATGTTAAGGACAGCAGATGGGTCGTATACGCCGGGGAGGCTAGGCTATTGCTGAGAATGAAATGCACACGGAGATAATTGTTAGCTGCGGTCCGACACGCCGGGGAGAAAGAGTGTAAACGACTGAGGCTCGCATGCGTCACCGCTACTAGAACTGAGGCAGAATGAGTGACAAGCGATTTCAGTGGTAATTGGTAGTGAGTAGATAAGAGGATGTGCGTAGAGTATCGTGAGGTGCTGCCATGGTCACTTTGCATTCTGCAAGAGTCATTCTAGCAAGTGGCGATTGTGTTGCAAGATGTCAAGAGGAGGTCTCTGTCTGGAGGCGCAGGTCGTCATTGATGTGTGAGATTGTGCTGTGGGTATGCTTGTGGTGTGTTGGCTTTTCTGTTTGTTTTCCATTTCAGCTCTGTCCGTGTGACCCAGGTTCTCGCAATGGCATCCAAGTCAACGTGCATTGGTCGTGAAGGAAAAAAGGGTTGGATCCCTTTTTTGCCGGGGAGTGTCAATGGAGTTGAAGATTGAACGATCAATTCTTGGTTGTTTGCTCAAAATCAACTTCCCCAATTTTCGCGGAGGCATCAATACGACAGTCATCGTCTCATCGGTCGCTGTTCAGAAAGAAGAGTGAAACATCGTCAGAAGTAATACAATGATTTATTATTGTAATATTTGTTTTCAGACCTTAGTTCGCTTATTCTTTTTATATGTTGGTGTAACAATAAAGAAATATCAAACGGCAGATCGGTGTTTTGGTTTTTTCGTCCGTTATAACTAAGCGTTTCTGAAATCTTCGAAGAACAGCGTGGGCCCGAGCGTAGCGAGAGCTGGGCATTAACGGTTTATGAGACGTGATTGACACCATAACTCCCGTCTCTGGACTCTTTCCGACATGTTCGTGTTTCTTTTTAACAGTGAGGGTGCACTGATATTATGCACTTCAAGGTGTGGGCTGACGTATGTTTTGCACAAAATTGGAAAGAGCTCAGGAGTGAGTATGCCTAACTGCCTGTACTTAAAATGTATGACCTCATATTCCTTGGCTACATCTTTAGTGTAATTCATGATTGTGTCCATTTTTTCCGTTAGAACTAGACCTAAGTCACGCTCCGACTCTGTGCAGGAGAAGCTTTGATTACAAAAGGTGTAACTTGCGTTTTGCAGCCTACATGTGAGTAATCTCACTGATTTGCACTTTTTCAGGTTGGAAGTCATGCCACTGGCTACCACCTAGTCTTCCAGAAGCTCAAAGCATGCCCGCAACTTATCTGAGTCTTCCAAACACCTCATTTCTCTCCATATCTTTATATCGTCAGCATAAAGATATGCTGGGCAGCCTAGACGGCATGGTAGGCCAATGTCGCCAATATCAGTGGCCCTAGGATACAGCTCTGCAACACTCCTGATGAAGAGCCTGACTCCACTGACCTTAGAGCAAAATATACTTTCAGCTAGATAGTCCTTCAACCATGACACTAGTGACTCACCTACACCTGCCTGACTTGTCTTGTGTAAGAGAAGGACATGCTGAACTATGTCAAACGCCTTCCCAAAGTTTAGGAAGAATACACTGACTGGGGCATTCATATCTCAGCATGATTTCCAATAGTTCCAGCTGATAGTAGGTTCGTGGCACAGAATTTACCTTTCCTAAAACCAATTTGTGCTTCATGGAGACTGGTTTCGTTTACCTATCCCCACCTTTGAAGATCGAAGAAAGAATGGCTCTTTTCCACTTCCTTCGCAGTTTTCCCAAATCCATCCAGTGTTGCAATGAGTTGAATATGAGCTAAAGAGGGCGCGGGCGCAGTTTCAGTACAGATGGTCTGATGTCGTCATAACCTGAAGACTTTCCAGTTGTGAGTCTCTGTAGCTTCCCTAGTACTATTGCCGGGTTTATCTGGGGCGTGGTTACTTGGTTTTCCTCCGGTGATGTAGTAGTGCCACCATTTTGGTCCGCACCAGTAATACCTACACTGCCGTTAGACTTTTTAGCCAAGTTTAGATTCAATGTTCCAGCCATCTCCAAATTAGTGAGGTATAGACAGATTGAACCTACTAAATCACATGCCTCCTGGTTGGTTAATTTTCTTTCCAACATGAATCGGTACGGGCTTTCAGGGTTCGCCAGGAGAGTTTTGACAAGCTTGGTCTGAAATGACCTCCTGTCACTCCTAACTCTCACGCTGCACCGGCTCCTCATTTCCGGGTATGTGTCGTGATCGGCCTGACTCTTGGAAATTCGCCGCGTGCACCGAGCTTTTCGCTTTGCTTGAGCAATACCTTAAGTGCATCTCTTCTGGCAGGAAGACCTCTTTATCTGTGTTGTGACAAAAGGAATGGTATCCGAGATTGCTCTTCCACCACTTTCTAGTGTTCATCCGCAGATAGCTCAGCCCATTCTAGGGGCCATTCTGCGTCGGATAAAAGCCTCCACATCTCAGCATAGTCCGACTTGTTATAGCACAGACTTGGCCGGGTGGCGTTCCACTGTAAGCCCTCACGAAGGGCGCCGGGAAGAGTCAAGATTTGGACCTTTGCGACTAGTAGCTGGTCACCAGTTAGAATATAATCCAGTTTCGACGACTTTCCACTAGGGCCCCCACTCCAACATTCTCGGTCATTCCATTTTTTTCTGATGGTTTGCAGTTGATTTCGACCGAATCTTGCCTGAGCATCATTATATTATATTATTTATTAAGTCCTTTATTATATCCTTTTATTCCTATAGGAACATAGGGCTTCAGCTGCGCGTCTCCATTGCCTTCTGTTTTCTGCCAACGTTTTTAACCCTGCTCCAAGTCTGTCCACATGCTTTCATCCCCTCCTCCAAGTCACCCTCGCACTGACGAACAACTCGCCACTTCCCTTTCGGGTTCCACTCGAGCAATGGCTTGTCTAGTGATGTCACTTGATGGTTTCCTCAGCGTATGGCCAGCCAGTCCATCTCCACTTCTTCCTGCCTATTTGTTTCACAATCGGTTCCTGGTTGGTTGGTTCGCTCATTGCCAGAGATCCCTGTTGCTAATCTTTTCTGGCCGGCCATCTGATCTTGAGCAAAGTATTGAGCGAAGACAACTGTTAATGAAGGTCTGAAGTTTGTTTGAGATACTCTTTATGATTCGCCATGCAGCATGGTCGTATAACTGTTGGATGAGATGTATAATTGTCGATGGGACCCCATAGTAGTGAAGTAGTTTCCAAATGATCTCTCGATCGACGATGTCGAAGGTCTTTCCAAAGTCGATGACGTTGAGATAGAGAGGTGTCAGCCAACTCTCATAAACTGTCAATGTCCAGGTCTCACTACACTGGACCTCACGCTGTCTCTCGAAGACTTTCAGAAACACTTTGTATTAACCAACACGAAAACCAGAACACAGATTGGCGACCCGAGGATCCTTTATCCTTACGCCAATATGTAACCAACAATAAGGTTATTATACACAAGATCTAGGAATAAATTTTATAACCATAAATCACGACAATACTTAAGATAGTTTTCTGTCTTCCACCGAACGATGACTGCTGGATTGATGACTCCCGCGAAAAATATGGAGGAGTTGGTTTTGAGCAAACAACCATGAATTGATCGTTCAATCCTCAACTACATTGACATGGTCCTTCATCTTCTACAGTTTTCTTAAAAGATATCTACATTAGCTGGCAGGCCTATGGTGTTGCGGCTTTCTGCATTCAATACACATGGCGGCTTTCTCATTTTGTTGACAGGATATTACTGGTATGCTGAACGCTGAGATACCGCATGCTAAATCTCTCTCGGAGTTGCTTTTTATTAACTTCAGTGTCGCCAGCTTTCCCAGTAAAACCGCCTCCCTTACCTTGTCAAGCAGTGGTCCTCCTTCCAAATGGCTCTTAGTAAACTTCTCCGATGTTTCACTGTCAAAAACTGAGGCAAACGTCCTAGATATTCCTCCAAGCTGTCTTCCTGGCATTGGCATAAATTCAAGCCTTGTGTTGTGAATGTTCGACGCATCGATGTAAACTGTTCATCTATATCGAATGTTTCCAAAATGTCAACTCCTACTACCTTGAGACATTTCAAGATAGGAGCTCGTTTTTGCCGATTAAGCTGGTGTATATACTAGCGGCACGGCTCCTTTATCATGTGAATGATTCAAGTGGGAAGAACTTGTACGGTGCTGCAAACTTCACTTTCACCCAGCTACTCTCAACACGCTCTTCCTTATTTAATCATCAACAGACTGCAGATTCTCAAGGTTTCATCATTGATTTGATCAGGAGTCAGTTGCTCGCTGTGTTCTTTGGTAGACATACATACACTAGAAATCAGGAACATTATAACAAGCCAGAGTGTGGATAGAGGTCAAACAATTTAATCTGTAACAATGACAAGACAAGAGGGTCAATCCAACTCACATCTGCAGGACCCAGGCTGCTTGGAATTACTGGATAATGTCTTCGAAGTTGGCGACTCCCCTTGCAGAAACTAGGTTACTACGCCTTTAAAATGCAATTTTCCATCATATGGTTTAGCAGCTAATATAATCAGACTGATGGTTGCGGGAGAAATGGCCGAGGTTAAACTGAATTGGAGGATTTCTCTGATCCCCTAATGAGAATTGTCTGGGTGATCAGGTGGGTCTACATGGCCACAGGTCAGATGATGAGGACTGTATCCTACAGCTTTGAGCGGATCACGACGTTTTTCTAGCCAGCGCCAACTTTCGGCATATCCATCACCGTGGCGTTACCTGGTATCCTACGGTGAGGCCGTGACTCGGACTCATCAGACTCCTGTCACTTTCCGAAGGCAAGGATGCACAGAGGACTACCTTTTCTTTGGAGTACATTTCTGGAATCCTGTCAAACTATGGTGTGTCACCAGGTTCACCTTGCGATTTGGGTGTGTTCATAAACAGTGTACCGTACAGATAGATTGAAATAAACTTTGTATACTGTTGTAAGGCACACCTCTTTGTACTCATAATGTACCAAGCTTGTGTTTTCATTAATGATCATAGCTTACATTTGGTAGGAATGAATCGCACACTAAGCATACCAAGATTTCTTCTCAAGGTGTTCAGAAGACTTTGTATGTTGTCATCATCACATTATCATCTACATGCTTTAAATCGACAACACTGTTCCATCGTAACTAGTCAATCTCGGAGTCGGTATATTTTCCTAGGGTCACATCGATTAGTACATTTATGATAAAAATAAACAAAAGCGGAGGCATTACATATTTTTGATACCAATTTAGATGACGACTTTCAATAAGCTCTCCCACGGATGCATTAGTTCAAGCAGAGGGAATATACTTTCTCGGAGCTGCATTCACAGGCAGACATTACCAAAACACCTTTTTACCGATAGAGTCAAATGGTACCTTCAGGTTAAGATACATGGCAGTTGTTAGACGTCAGTAACTATGCTTATGTCCCAGAATCTGACGACAGGTGAAGATATCGTCAATAATTCAAGAATATATCAATTACAAATCTTTTTATCAGCGTTTTTTTAACACTGTATAGTGTTTATGGATCACAGCAGTGAACATGACAGAAAAAGTATGGAGATAACTGGATTTATGTATACGTGACACATTAGTTGAATTTCAGTTCACCATAATATATTTCAATACCAGATAAACTAGAATATATCACAAGGCAATAAGTAGAAGGTATTATTATTTCTTCAAAATAAATAATATGATGAATTAAATGTGAAAGAAGAAAAACAAAAATAATATGACGCATTCATACATTTGAAACAAATAATGAAAGAGAAGGAAATTACATATACTTGAGAGATTTTTTTAAAAAAAAGAAAGCCTAGTAGAAGGCGACCGGAAGATAAAATGAAGCTGGAGAATGAAAATAATCGCACAAATTATAGATGCATAACTAAACACACAAAAAAATAGTACAGTTTATGACTGAAAATATCAAGTTGGCGAAATATAATGTGAGAATTTGTTATTTTCATGATCAACGATTGTTTGGATTGTGATGTCGCACATGACGAAGAATGTCTTTTTTGGTTAACACACCCAAAGGACATCTAAAATATAAAATAAAGGATATATATATATATATATATTTCACGTATGCCTAATGAATACTTGCAAGCTGTACTTCTGAACAAGATGCCGGCTTCAGTAGATTCAATACATAGTACGCCAAACATTTGAGATCTGTGAGTCATGTATTTACAAGAATTCTATTCAAATGTATTAAGTTGAACCACCAGTTGATAATAAAAGATAGTACTCAGCGATAGTATTATTAATAAATAATTAAAACTTGAGAAGACGTAAAGCTGATTAACAGCTAGCAAGGAATAGGGAGTGGATAAATAGTCGATGATAAATAGTTTTCACGTTATTGTCTGTTTTTTTTATTTTCAATAAAACAAATCGTCAAGAATAATCACGAAGTGATTTCAATGAAACAACACTGTTGAAACCATTAGGCCTTCCTTGGGACTCTTCAACAGGACACTCGGATGAATCCATGACCTTCAGGTTGCAAGGACAGTTTATATGCTATTGAGCTACTCAAGTGTAATTAAACAGCCACTAACAGACAGCTGTGCGTCAGTGGGACAGCGATAGAGTGCTCGCCGACCACACCGGTGGTCCGGGGTTCGACCCCGACCGACTCACTCCTTTACCATAACTAAGCCAGTAGTAAGACTGGTGTAGAGGGAAGGTCGTGGGGCGTGAGGCTAGCAACCCCACTGCTACAGAAACTTCAAGCCTCTAGCTTGAAGCCCTATGTTCCACTGGGAACGTAAATAAATTTAAAAAAAGGAATAGGGAGTGTACTCTAAGTTTTCACACACACACACACAGCATGACTAAATGCCTAATACAGAATAATACTCTACACATGGTGCCTGATCCGCATTCCTCTGACACTAGTTTTTATAAAACAATCAGGCGTTTTGCGTATTTGTTAGCGTCTGCTATTATCAAAATCTCAGTGAAATTACAGTTATGCTGTTGAAGTGGTTCGCTTTTAAAGTGATAGGAAAGCACATAGTATACTGAGATCTATTATATCTTCACCCAAATGTCACCACCTTTCCAATATCTGACTACTGATTGCACTAAACGATATATATAACAAATTTAAAGACCAATGATTTGAGGTATAAACTTACAACGCCTAGTGTAACAATAAATATTTATTGTGCAAATCTGAGAGAGAGAATACTTTTCACCAAAGTCCAAAATATATATCTTACCAATATGATATATTGGCAAATGTATACTAAACATGTAGATACCCTGTGTCGTGTGCTATTGATAAGATTTAACAGTAGTATGTAGTATGAAATCTACAACAGTTAGTCTAAGTCAGCCACGTAGGAAAGTGTAGACTTCCTGGTTGGGTTCCTCGGGACGGTAAAAACCAATGGTTGGAAACAATTGGTGACATGGCTCAAAATCGTTCTCAATGTCTAGCGCAGATGCATCCACTCCTTGTGACTTATGATTTCCAATGAAACTATATTGTTCTTCGTTATTACTATTCCTTTGTTTCACACCTTTGTTTACTGTCTCTAGAATGCATTTCTGTTACTTTCTTGTGTTGCTTTGTTGGCTACAAGGAGGGAGTGTGGCGACTTGAACGGGTGCACATCGGTGCAAAGTTCAATGTCGAAAACAGAGACAGACAGTATGTAAAGAGACGTTCAAAGACATAAGAAGATCAAATAGCGGAAAGATAGATTTGAGGTCAAAGAGAGCAAATGATTCAGCGTTGCGGCATAACATGGAAGATACGAAAAGAAGACAAAGAAATGCAATACGAAGGGTAGAAGTGTGGTAAGAGCTGGCTGTTAACCAAAATTGGTGGACAGTAATTTACGTCAATGCTTATGTCCCCAATATTGGTCGTGAGAAAAATGAGAACAAAGACTTTGCGTAGGCGGATACAGTTAACATATAGATGATCTGACATTCAAGAAACAGCCACAAAGAGATGCAAGATTAACTGTCCGTGAGAAACAACCAATCAGAAGACTATGTTTTTCTGCTAACAATAATCTATAATATGTACATGAAAATCTATATATATGTGCTGATTTCAATAATAAACGATTTGTTGCCTGGCCCTCGTCTTTTGTTGTTACAGAAGTAGCACGACATGGAAGATATGTGCAAATGACGATTTGCAGATTAAGTGTACATAATTTCGGTATAAATATAGATACCTAACACCAAATAAACATTCCTTTACCAAGTTACTTCTCTTCTACCATTACAATAGTACATCAAAGTGTCAAGTCTAATTGCATCTTTAGGTTAACAAGTCACCATACATATCGCTGTTTAACGGATAGGATTTGTATAAGCGATGAATTCATGAAAAACATGTTATTATCTAGTGTATGAAATAATCCTGAGTATTAAGATGCAAGAAAGGTTATTTCAGTTGCGAAAAACACCTCGGCGCATATGACGTTTATGTATTCAATAATCTTAACAAAGGGGAAAAAGGATGGTTTTTTGATGAATTATTCAATTTTGTTTATCGAGCTGTGACATGAAATCTTAACCCAATGAATCACGGTTTCAAACCTTATTCCTCCTAACGAATTCCGGACAGCTGGGTATCAGAATCACCAGCCCTTATGAGATACATTTGACTGTTGAGTAGTGACATTTCCTTTTTTCAGTTATAAGCAATGAACGTAATTCAGTTAAAGAATAGATTAGTTATTTTGAATAAATGTTTCTCTATTTCAACGCATTTATCAGAATAAACGCATATGTATCTCAAAACACACATAAATATGAGGATAACATACAAAAGAATATTTTAAGCACATTTACGGTTCTTTGCTTTCTGCTTTCGCCAGTGGACACCGATCTTCCAACGAAAGCAGAAATCCTGAATGCGATCAAGCTACTGAAGTCCATTCGAGAAGGCAGCAAGACCAGACGGAATTCCCCCACTCCAAAGCCCTGAAAACGGACCTACAGACTGCAGCAGATGTTCTCACATAATTACTGCAAAAAGGTTTGGAAGGAAGGAAAGTTATCTGCCGATTGGAAGAAAGGCTACCTCGTCAAACTACCAAAGGAGGGCAAATTAGGCCTCTGTAAAAACTGGAGTGGAATAATGCTCTTGTTCACACCAAGTAAGATACTAAGTCGCATCATCCTGGAGAGAATTAAAGATGCAGAATTCCCCACAGCACAGAACAAGCTGGATTAAGGAAAGGCAAATCACATGCGGATCAAATTCCTACTTTACGCATCATCGTCAAACAGAGAGTAGAATGGCAATCAAATCTGTACCTTAATTTCATCAACTTCGGAAAAGCTTTCGACAGCGTTACCCGAGAAGTAATTTGGAGGCTACTTCAACACTATAACGTGCAGTGGCCCTTAGTCTTTATCAACCTCATTCAACAGCTGACTATATGACAATGCTACGTGTCAAGTGATCCATAACGGATAACTCAGAGAGGCGTTCGAAGTGCATACAAGAACAACACACGACTGCCTGCTATCACCATCCTAAGTGTGATGGATTAGATTATGTATTAGACTGTGAATAGGGAGCCAGAAGACAGGAATACGCTAAACCGACAAGAAGACTCTAGAAGATCTGGATTTCGCAGATGATTTATTTTTAGTGCCACACAAACTCGTAGACTTGCATCAGCCACTACCAACTAAAGAAATTTGAAAGAGGAAGCAATAAATCAACTACAGGTGGAACAGATGAAGATATCAAAGGCAGAATCGGAAAGGTAAGATACACCTTCAACACTCTGAAATCAGTTTGGAAATCATCTGAACTCCGCGGCATAGAGAACAAGATTCGGATTTCAAACAGAAACATGAAGTCAGTTTCTCTATACAGGTCAAAAACTTGATGTGTCACGGAAGCATATTTCCAACAGTCCACTACAGACTTTGTTCCACAGCTGCCTTCGCTGGCTCCACACTGAGGATCAAATGGCCACCAGCCAGAAAGAATTAGTAACAAGAAACTCTAGCTGGCAACAAACCAACCAAAAGCCGATTACTCAACAAATATGTAGGAGAAAGTGGAGGTGGATTGAGCATACATTGAGAGAACTGTTGAATGACATCGCGCATAATGCAGGCCGTCACTCTAGTGGAATCCTGGTGGGAAGCAACGAGTGGGTCATCAGTGTGAGGGTGACATGGAAGAGGTTGTGTGGTGAGGAGGAGATGAGAGACTATGGAAATCGTGGGCCCAGCCAAAGAGGACAGCAGAAAATAGAAAAAAGTGGAGGTGTGTTGCTGAAACAATATGTTCCATTCGAAACCCAAAAGAATAATAATTTTATTCCTTCACGTTCCCAGTAAAAAAGGGCTTCAAGCTACAGCTCTGAAGTTTTGGTAGCAGTGGTGTTTAATTTTACTGACTGAAGTTGTTAGCCTCATGTTCAACCTTCCGTCTTTACCGGTCTTATTACTGGCTTAGCAAGGTGAAGGAGTGAGTCGGCAGAGGATCGAACCCCGAACCACATTCGTGGTTGGCGACTAGTCTACGACTGTGCCACCGACGCAAAGAATAATAATAATGATAATAAATACAGTTCTTAGTAGAAAACTTTTGTAATGAAATAAAGACCTAATAAATTTCATTTCAATGTACAAATTGTTTACACACATTTATTATTGACAGACTATAAAGTTAGACATTGTTTAACAAACTGCGTTCATTACATGTACAACTCAATAAAATTTTTACATAACACTGATAAATTAATTAATTAAATAAAGTGGAATGCCACTCACCCATTACGTGTAACAATAATCTGACGAAGACCTAATTTTCTGAAGAAATCTAGAACTGTTTCCATCGGTGTTTGGTCAGACACTGTTGTCGGAGACTAATCAACGAAAAAAAGAAAAATAATAATAAAGTGAAACATGGAACGTGCATATACATTAGACATACATTAATAATATTTCTGGAATAACAACAAACTACGACCCTATAAAACGTTACTGATTACAAATTAACCAAGTTATTTAATAAAGCTGTTGCTATACAACATTAGAAAAAGAATAATTAAAAAAAGTCACAGGATTACTGAGTATTTTGAAGTTGGTCGATTGTGCTGATTAAACCAAAGATTGAGAGGTTTATTGTCAGTAAATACGGTTCAAAAGAACAGCAGCTGTGAAGCATTTTGTAAAACTGTCTGGATGTCTGTATCAATGTAAGGCGTTCCTTTCAATTTCAAGACTGGCTTATCAAGAATTAAGTTAGGGAACTACTGTGATTATATATACTAACCACATACAAGAATAAACTATAAAGTGACGAACTTCATGAAGGATAAAAGTTGTCTTCTGAGTGTTTAGCAACGTACACCCTAAAATCCAACGACATAACCCCTGATCTGAGTTACACAGAAAATAGTGATTAATAATAATACGTCTTTTCTGTGTCTTGACACCTAGTGAAGTGAACAATGAAAGAAGAGGCTAAGTTAACAGTCGAACCCAGGACCATATGCATGGTCGGCGAGCGTCCTAACCGCTGTGCCACCGACGCACCTGGCAGTTATTAATCCTACAAAATGTTTCTATAGCTACATTTTCTGTAATTATAAACTAATTCCTAGAGAAATAAATCATGTATTCTTAGAAGTGTAGGGCCAGTAATCAAGTGGTCAGTTATACATAATCGTGTTAGTATAAAGCGATCACCTTTGACTGTTTGGTCTCCACCCATAACCTTGCAACGATGTGCAGTAGTTCAAGTAGCCACACTTCACGTAGAACGCAGAGTAAAAAAAGAGACTAGACGGAGATTCAAACCAGAGGCAACAAACAGAAATATAAGGCAAAAGGAATAGTAAATATGGAATGACAATATAGTTTTATTCGATATTATAAATCACAGGGAGTGTATGCATCTGCGCTAGCCATTGAGAACGGTTTTGAGCCAGATCACCAATTATCTCCAGCCATTAGTTTTTACCGTCCCGATGACCCCAACCAGCCAGCCAGTCGACACCTCCCAATGTAGCTTAAACTAACCGTTGTGGATTTTATTGATTGTTAAAGCCATGTTTTGGTTTGATCACCACTAGCTTTCTCTTTTCTAACCTGATCCATCCTATGTCATCTAAAAGTGCCCGTCGAGGAAAGCGATGGCCAGGTGTACGTAATACAAGCCCTAACTATCTCAATCAGTGTAACTTCACAACCTCATCGATTGATTTCCCCAACTTACTTAGAGCTCGACCGAGGTCTAACCTCAATATTGCTCACTTTATTATAACACTTAACACACGAGATAGAAGGCAGACACCTAGGATCAAAGACAGCTAGCCAGGCCTTACATGTCCTCCACTCTCAATGGCCAAGTCTCAGCCATAAAGGAGGGTAGGGCAAACTAATGAGTAGTACACACGCTCTTTGGCCGACATCTAGTCGGATACCACAGCTGCGCCAGAGATGGAGTAAACTGGCATATTTGAAACTAGTCCTCTGTATCCGTGCTGAGATTTCTTCAGCGGTCAACCCGTTAGGGCTGATGCAATCTTCCCAAATAAGTGAAGTGGTCAACACGCTCTACCGCTTCACTCCCTATCTCTAAGCTAGGAGTCAGTGTAGTCCAGTTCTGTTGGAACATCTTACACACTCGCATCCAAACATTCGCAGATTGCAGCTCAAGGTGTTCAGCAGATTCTGCATTCTGCCAGCCTCTTCACCTAAAAGAACTATATCATCTACATAGTCTAAGTTAACGAGATTATTCCCCGGTAACACATCAATCCCGGAGTCTCTGAAGTCACTTGGAGTTAGTTCCATTATTACATTTATGATGAAATTAAACAGAAATGGGGATAGTGGGCATCCCTGACGGACACCACTAGTTGTCACCAGTTCAGATGACAACTCGCCGTAAGCTCTCACCTGCCTTGATCAGTGCAATGTATTTTCTCTGCATTCCTTTCACAGCCGATTATCGCCAGAGTACCTCTCGGTCGACAGATTCTGATGTCGCCTTTAGGTCGAGAAATATGATGATTGTTGGAACCCGGTAAGTATGCCTATGTTCCAGAATCTGTCGAAGGGTGAAGATATGATCAATACACCCTCTTCCTGGTCTAAAGTCTGCCTGGTTCTCTCGTGTTTGTTCCTCCCGTGTACCGCTTAGTCTACGCCTGATTATTGAGTCTAGAACCTTAGGTACCATATAAGTCAAGCTAATCCCCCTGTGATTATCACAGGAAGATTTGTCTCCTTTTTTGTATATCGGGATAATCAATGACTTACACCGACCCGACAGGACTATCGCTGATTCCCAGACGCTTCCTATTACCTTAGTCAACCCAGACAGTTAACTGTTTCCACCATCCTTAAACACCTCTGCAGTCATTCCGTCAGGTCCTGCTGATTTGCTTCATTCCAGACTAGTGACAGCTTCTGCAACCTCAGTTAGGGACGGATGACCAGTGTTTATATCCCATTCGGGGAGGTGTTAGATGCTGGGTAATTTGAGCGTGGCTGTAGGCCACTCAAATATGGATAATATAAGGTTCAAAAAAGGTATTCTAAAATATTTGGAAATTAATGCCAAGAAAATGTACTACATCAATTGTTATTCACCTTAGGTTTGTAGACAAGATGAAAGAACCTAAAATGTAACATGATATACTATTCATCTTGTCAATTTTATTAAATATAACCTTCCTATTGTAAAACACATAACAGAGTCGACTACAACTGTTGTCACAAAAATTAACTCATACGAAAAAAACACTTACCAAATCAACAATATTTTGGAGATTAACAGGTGTCAATTCATGAGTATCATTTATATTCACTTGTTGAACTGATGCAAAGTATACTGGTGAATCATCTACAATATTTGGATCATATTTTCGTTCACGATCTATTCAAAAGAGGTAAAAAAAACAGCATATAATTATTATTCACCTAAGAAAAAGGAGACAATCGCCACGAAGACTTTAAATCAAGTTTCCTTAATATATACATATAACATTGAAAAGAAATTCTTCATATACATATAATTGGAAAGAAAGTAAAAATCTATCACATCTACGGTCTCTAGGTTATCACATTATAACGTTTTATTAATTCAGAGAAAAACATACAAAAAAACAACGACCAATTGGTAATAAATGACCCTTGATATTAATATTATTATCATTATAGATTTTTACTTTTAACATTCAACTACTACCATGCCTGTACAAACAAGTTAGTTTATCAGATGAACAAAGTTAACAGAACTCTGATTATCATAGGTAGATACTATTTAGAAAATTATGAACTCTAAAAAAGAAGTATAACAAATTATCTAACAAAGTATACTTGTAAACTCAGAGATGGTTCATATATGCAGGCAAGTAACTAAGTAGTTAGAACAGCACGTCAATGAATCCTATTACTTTGAGTAGTGCAAACCAACATAGTCTAATTATTGTTTACACGGCAAGTAAACAAGTGATTAGGAAGAGCGAAAATATAGTGTAAATCCTTTCAACACTCATGCGGACATCTCACCACTGCATTTGAAGAAAAACCACCAGTTAGTGGATTGAAACTGTACTACCTGATTTACAACAGTTATCTTAAAAAAACGTTAAACACATGTTTACCGAAGGCATTCAGCACTGATTAGAATCTGTTTATGCAAATGTGCGTCGGTGGCACAGCAGTAGAATGCTCGCCGACTATGCATGTGGTTCGTGGTTCGATCCCTGGCTGACGCACTCCTTAACCTCTCTAAACCAGTAATAAGACTGGTAAACACGGAAGGTTGAATATAAGGCTAGCGACTTCATCCCGTAAAATAGATACCATTACTACTGAAACTTCTAAGCTGTGGCTTGAAGCCTTATGTTTCAATGATATCTGCAGTGCTTCAAAGCTAGTAATCATAAAATTATTGGTAGGAGTCACATAGTTACGCGTACACATCTAGTCATGATTGTTGAAGTACCAATTCGGACATCTTAAAACAAAATTCATGTACTCGAATACCCTAGGACTCATATATTACGATTAATTAGATATAGAGAGAATATGTTTAATTTTATAATCTAAGTCATCTAAGTCATAACCTTTTAAGCTGATGATAGCCAAAAATTAAATGATAAGTACTCATTACAAAAAAGAAAAGAACAAATTACCCATTGCCCATCGTAATTCTCTTCTTGATACCCAACCAACCAGATAAGGTGACTCTTGAGAAACAACAACAGGAAATCCTTTAACATCACATCCACTTATCAATTGGTCAACATCACTAACTGTCATATCATATTGTGTGACAACATAAAGTGGAGAACCAGAATCTCTAAGTGATAAAAACAAAAGGAAGCAGATACACTTTGAAAGTTCTTTCTTCTCGAAACATAGTAAATGTTTTAAACAAAGCAAAAAACAAATGCTTGTACAGAATAATAATAAAATAGTAAATATCAATGAAAGTTCTTGACATGCTCATGAAATACTTACACATTTAAATGTTAAGAGATGGAGAACTCCCAGCAAGTGTCACTTTCATCCTAAAATGTACAAGTCTCTTTTATTAATTTTAAGGTCTAAATAAATGATAATAACTAATTGAAATGAGAACAGAACAGAAGTCATGGGAAAGATGTTCGGTCTAGGTGGATGCTTTTCGTGCTTTTGTCTTCTCTGAGCGGATGATTTATTTGACAAGTGTTCATTGTTTTTCTAAACAACACTTATAGTACTTTAAAATAAAGTAAGTAGCAGTTCAGTAGCGGGTCTTTTGTAACTATTAAAATGACTGATACGAAGATTTTAATCTAATGTATCGGAATTTGGCTTGTACAAATGCATAATTTAAGGAGTAAAAGACAAAGGAAGCGCCCAACAAAACAATCACCTCATTTTAGTGAAAGTAATGACACACAGGTCTATATACCACAGTTTAATCTGAGACATTTTGATAAATTGTTTTTTTGTAACTGTTTAAAAATCTTCTAAATAACTGTCGATTATCAGGTAGGTTAGCGCCTGTGGCTTAGCGATAGAAGGCTCGTCAACCACGCCTCATGTGGTCCAGAGTATAACCCCCGGCCGACGCGCATCTTTACCTCAATAACCCAGTAATAAAACGGACAAAGACGGAAGGTTGAGCATTAGGCTAGCAACTCCACCCCATAAAAATTAATATCACTGCTACCAAGACTTCGAAGCTCTAGCTTGAACGTAAAGGAGTAAAACAACAACCAGTTAGGCACAAAGAATTCAACAGATACTTCTGAAGAATAAAATAGTTAAGTCATAAAGAAAAAAGAAGTATTTCAAGGAATAGACATCGTATTGTTATATTAAAGTTTTATTCACTTCATAATAATTCATAACAGATTACTACGATAAATCTGATTGGTGGTAATTGAACGTTTCAACATAAAAGTGGTATCTAATATTCCCTACTAGTGAAGCTGGATGGGAAAGAAACCAAAAGAATAAAGACAGATAAGAAATTATTCAAAGTCTAACAATATAAACCTGAAAAATACTACATTTATCATTATCAAACAACTTGAAAAGATAGAGGCTATCAGCATAGAAGCAGTCACTATTATGGGACTATCCAAGTAGCCCTATGATATACTAATGCATGAGTTAAAAAGCACTATGCAAGAGAACAAACCAATGAGAAAAGTAAAAGTGAGAAACGCAAACGGTCAAATGACAAGAGAAAATAAAGACTAAGCTTATTTCGGCTACAGTCTCCAACTTTACGTTTGGATAACCTGCATGACGCATAGTCTTACAAACCAAACAATCCTACTCAGTTCATATCACAACAATGGATTAAATCACAGATTAGTTGTACGTCTTCTCTAGTAGTTATCCTTTATTTTCATTCCACCTACTAATTCAAGTTTTATTTAATACCGCATACTGAGATATCTTTCGGATAGAGATATACAGTACATGTCTCAGCATTAACAGATTTAACTATTGATTTACTTGTCTTAAATAAAACTTCATGCCCTACCTCTGTATGGTTGTCATAGTGAACTTAGAACAAGTGGACAATACTACGAAAGAAGAAGCAGTTCGACAATTAGAATCTACAAACGCCATCATGTTAGGCAGTTATGTAAAAGACAAAAATACACTGCTGTGCAGTAAGGACGATTCGAAAATAACTTGTAAATTTTATTAACCTGAGAAACTGACCACCATTTTATTCCCAATCAGTCGATAGACTATGTTATTAAATGCCTTTTGCTTCTTTTACTTTAGATTCCTTTACCTCTAAAGCAAGCTATCCTCAGAAAGTTTACAGTAAATCACACTCAATTTAATGAACTTCAACCCCATAATCGTCGTATTAAACGTCACTAGCTTCATAAACGTCACTAGCTTCAGTTCAAGAAATTACTGATTTTCTCTCCACCTTTAATTCCTGGTGAAACAACATACGGACATAAGCTTTGAGGTTTCATAAGTAGTGATATAGCTAGCTAGCCATACACTCAGCCTTCCCTCATTTCCACACTTAATATTGGCTAGTAAACCAAGCAAGGCTTCAGAGTGCATTAGCCGAAAATCGAATCCTATGTGGCTGGCTGGTGGGGGCGTTTGTTTTACCAATCAACTAACAACATACAATAAGCTACTACTATGTGTTATTGATTTCGACTTTTAAAATACGACCAATTTTATAATTTAATGTCTTTATTGATATTTTTTCCAATTGTTGATTGTATATATTTTCGACACATTTTCCCATTTCGTGTTTTGACTTATCAATGAAGAGCAATAAAATGTGATTAAAATGTATATTGAACAATAGATGAGTTGAAAACGTGAATGTCTACTTCTGTTGCACTATTGTAACTCTTTACTTTGTAGAACAATAAGTCAACGATCGAATCTTCTACGAGGAATATCGAAATTATCTCTTCAAAATGAAAGAATAAAGATTGAGGCTTAATAAAGCTTTGAAAAAGTCAGTCTGTCTGTTTTCGACAGAACTTTGCACCGATGTGCACCCGTTCAAGTCGCCACACTCCCTCCTTGTAGCCAACAAAGCAACACAAGAAAGTAACAGAAATGCATAATAGAGACAGTAAACAAAGGTGTGAAACAAAAGAATAGTAGTAACGAAGAACAATATAGTTTCATTGGAAATCATAAGTCACAGGGAGTGGATGCATCTGGGCTAGACATTGAGAACGATTTTGAGCCATGTCACCAATTGTTTCCAACCATTGGTTTTTACCGTCCCGAGGAACCCAATCAGGAAGTTTACACCTTCCTACGTGACCAGCTTAAACTAACTGTTGTGGATTTCATTGATCGAAAAAGGCATGTTTTCGTTTGACCGCCACTAGCTAGCTCTTTTCCAGCCAGACCCTATGTCAGTCACCATTGTTCGTCGAGGAAGGCGATCGACGGCTACGCATACGTGTCACATGTCCTAACCATCTCAGCCGGTGAAATTTCACGGCCTCGTCGATTGATTTCCCCTTCCTCCTTACTTAGCACTCACTCGACGCCTAACCTCAATATTGTTCACCTTATTATACTACTTCACACGAGAGATAGAACGCAGGCATCTATGATCGAAGACAGCTAATCTTTTCATCTTGTGATGTCTTGAAAAAGTATCATTACGGTGTATTAATGTATACGTATGTATGTGTATATATGGCAGGTTAGTTTATAAAGAAGCATAATGAACTAATCGAGAGAGTACACTAGCAGAAGACAGAGATGTAATCATCAGGATTGTCAAACAAAAATAAAAATCAGCCAGAATTATTGTTTACTTCATCAAAATATTTCTAAAATATGGTGAATAATCACAATTGTAACTGCGGGGGGTGAAGATTGGTAAGTATTGACAAGAGTTGCGTAATACGAAATAGCATGTTAATGGAGACACGTGTCCAAGATAAATTATGAAATAGGTGGAAAGAGTAAATAATGGGTTGGTTAAGAAGATGTTACTAAGATGTCATAGAAAAATTTATGCAAACAGAATAAACTTCTCCAAACCTCCTTCTACTTTGGATATAATTCCAAGTCCTACTGTGGTGAGAGTTGGCTGCTAGCCAAATTGGTAGACAGTAATTTACGTCCCCAATGTCGGTCATGAGAAAAATAAGAACAAAGACTGATTCAACAACCAATCACAGCAGACTTTGCGTAGGCGGATACAAAGTGATGAAAGATTAACGTTCAGCGAGAAACCACCAAACAGAAAACTATTCGTTTGCTCACAATAATCTATAATAATGTACATGTAAATCCATAAATATCTGTTGCCTGGCCCTTGTCTTCTGTTGTTACACTACTGCTTTGTTAATAATGTTAGTTTTTTTTTGAATTTTTGTATGATATCTTAGGAACATCTTCGTAACCAACCCATTATTTACTCTTCCTACCTATTACATGATTTATTTCATATTACGCAACTCTTGTGAATACCCCCCCCCAGTTACAATTTTGATTGTTTACCACATTTTAGAAACATAGAGATGTATTCAGTCAAATGAAATGTTTAGACAGCCTGTAATGTACACATTTTCTGATCACAGTTTTATTATTATATTATTATTGTATCCTTTAGTTCCTAGAGGAACATAGGGCTTCAGCTGCGCCCCTCCATTGCCTTCTGTTTTCTGACAACTTTTTCACCCTGCTCCAGGTCTGTCTACATGCTTTCATCTCCTCCTCGCATGACCTCCTCCAAGTCACCCTTGGACGACCAACTCGCCGCCTCCCTTTCGGGTTCCACTCGAGCGATGGCTTGTCTAGTGATGTCACTTGATGGTTTCCTTAGCGTATGGCCAATCCATCTCCGTTTCTTCCTGCCTATTTGTTTCACAATCGGTTCCTGATTGGTTCTCTCCCAGAGATCTTTGTTGCTGATCTTTTCTGGCTGACCATCTGATCTTGAGTATTGAGCGAAGACAACTGTTAATGAAGGTCAGAAGTTTGTTTGAGATGCTCTTTATGACTCGCCAAGTCTCTGATCCGTATAGTAGCACTGACTTTACATTGGAGTTGAAAATCCGGATGTTATTTTTGATGCTGAGTGGGGCTGTTGACCTCCACACAGATTTGAGAGCAATGAAAGTTTGTCTTGCTTTCCCGATTCTGGCTTTGATATCCTCGTCAGTTCCGTCTGTAGTTGAGACGATGCTTCCCAGGTAGGTGAAGGAGGCTGTTTCTTTCAGGTTCCTCCCATTTATGCTGATTGTTGTCTGTTGTTGATGTTGGCTAGGAATCTTCATCACCTCTGTTTTCTCTATGTTCACCTGAAGTGAAGTCCTATCTTTGGTGCTTCTTCCGCCAACT